GGGAAAGGAGAGGGAGGGAGGGAGACATTGATGTGAGAAGCATCGATTGATGGCGTTCTCTACCTGCAACCTTGGTATGTGCCCTGATCAGGAATCGAACCTGCAGCCTTTTGGTGGATGGGATGAACTCCTACTAACTGAGCCACCCGGCCAGGGCCCACGCCTCTCCTTCTGATGAGCCCATCTCCCCAGCGGGCTGCTTGCCAGCACTGGAGGCGGCCTGTCCCTTCAGTCATTGGAATCCCTTCACTCACTCACCAAACACGTGTTGAAACTTACTTTAAACAGGAGTAATTCCAACTGCATATCATTTAAAAACACCCCGATTAACATGGGCTTAAGAGCTCCGAGGTGGGCAGCCCAGGGCCTGGCCCCGTGGGTCTGCTGTCACCCAAAGCTGTCACCGGGTGACCCAATGGCAGCTCAACTCCAGCCTCACGGCCACAGTCCGGGCAGCGGGAGGAGCAGGGAAAGGACCTCAGTGGGGCCTCCCCACGTGGCCCCTCACGGGCCCTGGCCGATCCTGTCCGCCTGCGGTCAGGCTCCCTGCAGCAACAGATCTCCTCTGTGTCTGGGTCCCCGTGAGGGCGGGGGCGTCTGCTGTCAGTCTCCCTGCTGCAGTCTGGGGGGTAGGGGATCCCCTCACCAAACCACTAACCCCTCCTCCCCTCAGCTGGCACCCCAGTAATAGCCCCGCCCGCTTCTGTGGACAAAGCAAGCAAGTGTTCGCATGCACACACATGAGGGGTGGTGGGAGGTGGTAGGGGGTAGCAGGAGAGGCAGGAGATGGCAGGGGGTGGTTGAGAGATGGCAGGGAGTGTTGGGGGGGGCAGGGGGTGGCAGGAGATGGCAGGAAATGTTAGGAGTGGTAGGGGGTGGCAGAGGGTGGCAGGGGGTGGCAGGGGGATGACAGGGGGATGACAGGGGTGGTAGAGAGTGGTAGGGGGTGGTAGGGGGTGACAGGGGGTGGCAGGGGTGGCAGGGGGATGACAGGGAGTGGCAGGGGTGGCAGGGGGATGACAGGGGGTGGCAGGGGTGGCAGGGGGATGACAGGGGATGACAGGGGGTGGCAGGGGGTGGTAGGGGGTGCCAGGGGGTGGCAGGGGGATGACAGGGGTGTTAGGGAGTGGTAGGGGGTGGTAGGGGGTGGTAGGGGGATGACAGGGGATGGCAGGGGGATGACAGGGGTGTTAGGGAGTGGTAGGGGGTGGCAGGGGGTGGTAGGGGGATGACAGGAGTGTTAGGGAGTGGTAGGGGGTGCCAGGGGGTGGTAGGGGGATGACAGGGGGTGGCAGGGGGATGACAGGAGTGTTAGGGAGTGGTAGGGGGTGGTAGGAGGTGCCAGGGGGTGGCAGGGGGATGACAGGGGGTGGTAGGGGGTGGCAGGGGGATGACAGGGAGTGGCAGGGGTGGCAGGGGGATGACAGGGTATGACAGGGGGTGGCAGGGGGAGGTAGGGGGTGCCAGGGGGTGGCAGGGGGATGACAGGGGTGTTAGGGAGTGGTAGGGGGTGGTAGGGGGTGGTAGGGGGATGACAGGGGATGGCAGGGGGATGACAGGGGTGTTAGGGAGTGGTAGGAGGTGGTAGGGGGTGGCAGGGGATGGCAGGGGGATGACAGGAGTGTTAGGGAGTGGTAGGGGGTGCCAGGGGGTGGTAGGGGGATGACAGGGGGTGGCAGGGGGATGACAGGAGTGTTAGGGAGTGGTAGGGGGTGGTAGAAGGTGCCAGGGGGTGGCAGGGGGATGATAGGGCGTGGCAGGGGGTGGCAGGGGGATGACAGGGGGTGGCAGGGGGTGGCAGGGGATGGTAGGGGGATGACAGGGGTGTTAGGGAGTGGTAGGGGGTGGCAGGGGGTGGCAGGGGGATGACAGGGGGTGGCAGGGGATGGCAGGGGGATGACAGGGGTGTTAGGGAGTGGTAGGGGGTACCAGGGGGTGGCAGGGGGATGACAGGGGGTGGCACGGGGGTGGCAGGGGGTGGCAGGGGGTGGCAGAGGGATGACAGGGGGTGGCAGGGGGATGACAGGGGGTGACAGGGGGTGACAGGGAGTGGCAGGGGGATGACAGGGGGTGGCAGGGGGTGGTAGGGGGTGGTAGGGTGATGACAGGGGGTGGCAGGGGGTGGTAGGGGGATGACAGGGGATGACAGGGGATGACAGGGGGTGGTAGGGGGATGACAGGGGGTGGCAGGGGTGGCAGGGGGTGGTAGGGGGATGACGGGGTGACAGGGGGTGGTAAGGGGATGACAGGGGATGGCAGGGGGTGGCAGGGGGATGACAGGGGGATGGCAGGGGGTGGCAGGGGGTGGCAGGGGGATGACAGGGGCATGACAGGGGGTGGCAGGGGGTGACAGGGGGATGACAGGGGATGGCAGGGGATGACAGGGGATGACAGGGGGTGGCAGAGGGTGGCAGGGGGTGGCAGGGGGATGACAGGGGGTGGCAGGGGGTGGCAGGGGTGGTAGGGAAGCAGCGTGCCGGCACCCTTGCTCTTTCTGCTCGGCAGACCCGGTGGTTTTGAAGGCAGCGAACAGGACTTCTGAGGAAGACGGCCAGCTCACGATGCAGGACAAAATTACGCTTTCTGCTCAGTTCCATTAGGGTAATGGTGCCCCATTTGCCCGCCACACGCTGACCCGTCTCCGAGATGACAGGTTGACAGTGACACTCACTGGGCCGTCTCAGCACACAGAGCCCATCAGAGCGAGGCCGTGGGGCCCGCACAGCCTGTGCCGGGAGCAGGCGCTGCCCCAGCGTGACGTGCGCTGCCCTCCTCGGCCTGACACGTCCGGTCCGCGCAGAAATCACAGCTGCTGCCTCGCCTGCCGCCTCCTGGCCGGGCCACCCTCCCCGCCCAGGCCGAGGGGAAGCAGCACTATGCCGACCCCGTGGGGTCCTGGTGAGAGACTAGGAACTTGGGGAGCAGCTTGGTTTTTGTTCAGTGGACCCATGACACGCGAGCAGATTGCTGATGATTCCCCGTGACACACGTGGGAAAAGCGGCCAGCGGCCACGTTCTTGTTCTAGTCTGCGTGCCAACGCCGCTCGGGCCCACGCCCGCACCCTCGCCGGCTCCCCGGCCACCGGGTCCTGCCTCCAGGAAGGGCTGGGCTCTTCGGACACAATGCATCACGTGACCAGGCGGCTGTGCGTCCTGCTGGGCTGCAGGGCCGCCTCCTCCCCACGTGAGACCTGAATGCTGGCTCCGGGCTGGGCGTCCTGGACCCCGGTTTTCAGCTGAGAATCTGCTTCTTCAGGCCTAGAGCCTCCTGGACAGAGGGAGTCAGAGCAGAGGGTCAGGTGCAAGCAGCACCTGTCTGGCCTGGGCCGCAGCCGGGGAGCGGGGGAGCTGGCCCCGGTGCACCGTGCACTGGTGTTCTCAGAAGAGCGAGTGCTCAGAGCGATGGCCGGACCCCCCCTCCCCCGCCCCCGTGAGCCAGCAGTCCTCAGGGGCGGGGGCACCTGTGGCTGGTCCTGCCCACTCCCCACAGGGCCTACATACAAGGGCACAGGGCGTCACCGTCACTCCTGTGATGAGTCACAGAACACTGCCCTCTGCTCGCCCGCTCTCAGCTGTCCCTGTCCCCAGTCCCGCTGCCCTCCCCGGGGAAAGGCGCCCTCGGAATCACCGTGGCCTTCAGAAACCAGTTTGTGTGCCCTGGTCAGGCCGCCTGCCCCTACTGTCCTCCCAGCCCGGCTGCCAGAACTGGGAGTGAGAACAACCCTGTCACCCCCTCCCAGCCGGGAGTCTGCTCCCGGGACCCCTCTCCAAGCCTCGTCTCCCTGCCAGCACCCTCCTCACCCTCCTAGCAAACCAGGGCAGCGCTCGGCACCCAGGCGAGGCCCCTGCCCCCTCCTGGCCACCTGCTGGCCTTGACCCAAGTCCTCAAGCTCCGGGCCCTTTGTCATCCGCGCAGAGGCAAATGGCTCTCCCCTGGAGCTGTCTGCACAAAAGGTTCATAAAGCGGAAATGTAGGCTAGCTGGAGGCTAGCATCACTGCTGTTACCGTTTGTCCTGGATCCCCAGGCACAGGGGTCAGTCTGGCACTCAGCGGGCGGGTGGGCGAGGGCCGCACCTCCCAGTGACCCTGACCCTAGCCCTGCCGGCAGGGGCTGCCTCTGTGCCACTGCTGATCTCCATGGCCGGGGAGGAGGGGCTCCGGCAAAGTTCTGCCAGCCAGCCTCACCCTCGTTAGCAGTCTGGAGGTGCCCGTGTGCCCGGTGTCTGTGAGCCAGGGAGGAACCCACTGGGTCTGGCCAAGCTCAGGAGGCATTCCCGGAGCAAGTAGAGGAGGGCCCATCCCGGCCCGATTCCTGTGCCACCTGCCACAGCCTCTGGCTGCTGCCCTGCCCGCCGGCCACCGCAGGGAGCCCGGGCTGGTGTCTGCTCCGGCCCCCGGGTCCCCAAGGGCTTGCCCACTGCCTGACCCGCTCAGAGCAGCTGTGCCCTGACCCGGAGTCAGCGGGAGAGCATTGGCAGGGACCCATTCTAAGCCGGCAGTGCCCATGGGAGGGGGGGCACCCACAGCTCCAGGTGGGAACGGACTGCTGGGCCCAACAGCCCAACAGCCCTGGCTGATCTGCCTCCTTCTGAAGTCACTGGGCACCCAGAGGTGGGAAAGCTGGGTGCCAGTGAGCAGATGGGGGCCCCAGGCCGGCCTGTTTTGGGCTGAGGGGTGGGAGGGGTGGTCCCGGGGTGTCTGGCGGAGCTTCCGGCCTCCCCGGCAGGGGGCGCTGTGCTGGGGTGGGGGCTTCGCTGTCCCCAGGACCAGAATCCTGGGTATGGGGCGGGGCTCCCCCCCCAGCAGGGACCCTGTGTTTGTGGGGGCTGCTCAGGCTCCCCATTCACGGCGATTGCCCCCCCCCCCCCATGCGGAGCCCCGCGCGGCTCCCGGAAGCACGGAGCCCCAGCCGCGCTGCGGGCACCCCGCCCCCGGGGACTCGCGGGAGGCGGGACCTGCGCTCTGACGCGGCCCCGGAGCCTCATAAATAGCGGCAGCGGCTCCGGGCGGACACGTCGAGGGAACCGAACCGGCCGCCGCGCTCCTCCTCCGCATCCCGAGCCGTGCCATGCGGTGAGCGCCCGGCCCGACCCGACTGGACCCGGCCCGACCCGGCCCAACCAGACCCGACCGACCCGACCGGACGCCCAGACCCGCCGACACCCGCCCGGACACTGACGCCCGGGACCCCCGCTGCTCACGGTACCGCGCGCCCCTCCGCGATCTGGCCGTGGACGCACCCGAGGGCGCGGCGCCTCTGTCCGGCCCCGGCCCCCGGCCCCCGTGCTCCGTCCCCTGTTCCCTGTCCCTTGTCCGGGGGCGCAAACACTGGGTCCTCGGTCCCCTTCACCCCCTGTCCTCCCGGGTTGGGTCGGAGCTCCGCCCCACGTGCCTGCGCCCCCGCCTTCCCTTGCAGATGTCCCCAGGCGGCGCCCTCCTGCTCGCCTCCCTGCTCCTCGCCGCCCTGCCGGCCGCCCGCGGGTCCCCGGTAAGTGCGGGTCCCGGTAAGTGCGGGGCGGCGCCCTCCGCACGCTGCACCAGAACCACAGAACCGGACCGGGCGGAGCGGGCGCTTTGGGCCGGTGCGGGATGGAGAAGGGGGACGGGGGAGGGGACGCTCCCGTCTGGTGTGTGGACAGCCTGCGGGGAAGCGGGGAGCATGGGCCACGGGCTGCGGCTTCACTCGGAGGGGCCGTCCCTGTGGAGCGGGTCCTCGCATCACCAAGCGAGAGAAGCGGCTGAGGCTGCTCCCCCAGGAGCCCTAGAAGCCGTCCTCCCCACAAGTGCACATGCATGGCAATGCCCATGTTCCACTGGAAAGCCGGCCCTCATTGTGAGAGGAACCAGTCCATGCAGGCAGGCACGGCCCGGCCACCTGACCCCCTCTCTCCCTCGAAGGTGAAGGAGAAGAGGGGCTGGACCCTGAACAGCGCCGGCTACCTTCTGGGCCCACGTAAGTGACAGTCGCACGCCCTCAGGGCAGACACTGAACCTGCCCTCCTGCAGCCACGTGTGCTAGTCCTACTGGTTCTGAGCTGCCGGGCGCCATCACTCTGACCCTGGCCGTCCCGTTAGCAGACACAGGGAGGGGCATTCCCCAGGCTTTGGGGATGGGGTCCCATTAGGTTAGCGGCATTTGCCCTCCCTGAAGCCACACCCCTTCCTCCCCCTCCTGCAGCGATGCTCCCTCCCTCCCCTACAGTCTGGGCCTGGAGGGGCTCAGCCCCCGCCCTGACCCCACTGCCCTCCCCCAGCCTTGAGGCACCTGACTCTGCCTTGAACCCTGACCACCCCGCAGCTCTTGGCACTCCCCCCCCCCCAATCTCCTGCCTTCTCCCTTTTTGCCCACATTCCTCAGGGCTGCCTCTGCCCGCCAGCTCCTGTAAACTGCCCGGAGCTGTCTTGGTCCTTAATCCTGGAGTCCAGTACACACTTTCTCCTGCTCAGACGGTTTATCCATCACCGGGGGCCCTGAGAGCCCAGCACTGAGGACACACACTAGGTGGGCCCAGGCAGGACCCATGCTCTCCTGCACCCTTCCCACCCCTGAGCTCTCTCCCTCAGAGAGCACCTCGTCTCAGGGTGCTCCTGGCCCCCGAAACTGGAGGGACTGTCAGCAAAAAGGCCACTTGGGAATGCGGACAGCATGTCGAGAAGACTTTCCCCCTGCATTGGGAAACACCCTTTTCCGCTGAGAAGGTGTAAGTCTGCCGAGTGGACCCCCAGGAGCCGGCACGCAGTGGCTCCTTGAGGGAAGTCCTTACAGCTTAACGGTCTGGCCTTGACCTCCACCGCCCACGCAGACACCCAGCCGCCCACCGGACCAGCTCACTCGTCGCCCTTCTCATCTCGTGCCAGGAGCTGTGTCTCGGGAAAACGAGCTAATTTCATTCATCCACCAGGCCCAGCAGCCGGAAACCCCGAGCCGCCCTCGCCGTCCCCCCGCTTCTCCTTTATCTCCTACGTCGCCCCAATCCAGCCCCTTCTCCTCACCCCAGGCTCTAGGTTTAGAGCCTCATCCTTCTTCCAATGGTTCCCTAAGGGAGCCCTCAAGCAGCACACCACCCAGTGCACATAGCCACCCAGCCCACCCCACCCCAAGCATGTCTGTCTGTCTGTCTCTCCCCTCCCACCTCCCTCTCGCCCTGGCTCCAGTCCATCTCCCACGCTGCTGCCAGAGTGGTCTTTGAGAAATAGGAAGATTTCGGTACCTCCCTCGTTTTCAGAAACATGGGCCCCGGTCACAGCCAGCACCCCTGGGAGCCTCGTGCTCCCCGCTGCCAGGCCTGTGAGCCCCGTGGAGCCCAGCACCAGGCCCCCCCCCCTCCCTCCTGTGGTCCCCACGCAGGACTGCAGGGCTCATCGGGTCCTCGGGCGGGGAGGGGTGGGGAGGGTGCGAGTACAGTAACGACCCTCGGCTGTCCGCTCGCTCTGCAGATGCCGTCGACAACCACAGGTCATTCAATGACAAGCACGGCGGCCTTGCTGGCAAGCGGGACCTGCGGCCAGAGGACGGCGCGGGGGCAGGTGAGGGGGCTGGGTCCCGGGGCCCCGAGGCGCCCCACTGCCCACCTCTGGGCGCACAGGGCAGAGGTCCGAGCCGGCCCGGCCACATCTGTCCTCTGCTGGAAACAGAAGCAGCGTCACTGGGAGTAAGATGTGGGGACAGAGAGCCCTCTAGACTCAGGGCCTGCAGGAGAGGGGCCCCCGAGATGGGTTACAGAGATGCTGGGGTTCATGACCTCGGGCTGCCCAGAGCACCTGTGTAAGTCGTCAATGTCAATCACTTGTTTCTAGGCGACTTGGAGCGGCCGCTGCCAGTGGGCGATGATGATGTGCGGAAGATAATGGAGTTTCTGACGTTCCTGCATCTCAGAGGTCAGTGAACGGGCCGATGTATGTTCCCGCCTCCTAGGGCCGGGCCCTTACTCGGAAAGGCTTCCTGGACCTCTGCAGGGACCGACCCCACGCCTGCCGGCTGGAGGGACAGCCCGGGGGCTGGGCTTGCTGCCGGTCCCACATGGTCCCTGCAAAGGGTCATCAAACCTACTGCTCCCAGAGGGGTGGGCGGCGGGGGGAGGGCCTCAGGATTCCGTCCACTCCGTGCACCATTGACGTGGCCACCACCGCTGCCCTGTCCGGCCGAAGTGCCCACCGGCCTGCCCCTCACGGGCGTCTGAGGCCAGGTGGTCAGCCTGAGGTCCGGGCTCTCCTTGCTGCGTTATGCATGGCCCTCGGCCCTGGACGTCCTGCAGGGGCTGCAGGCGGTGAGGCTCCCCCTGCCCATTTCTACCCCGGCTCTGCTGCCCGTGCTTCACGCTGGCCGTCCGTTCCACAGGGAGGGCCGGCCTTTGCCAGCAGCCTCCCAGGCGGAGCCGCTGCGGGAGCCCGCGCTCTGAGCTAGCCGTGCTGGGGGCGGGGCCGGGAGACGGACGCTGTGAGGCTCAGGGAGCTGGTGGTGGTCACTGTTTTGTGATGAGACAGTCCAGCTGGCCCTGCCCTGTGCGCTGTGGGCTGTGATGCCCTTGTGCGGACGGCAGGGGCTCAGCGCTCAGTGTCCGTCCCTTTGCAGAGGCCGGGGCCCTGCTGCCCATGCTCCCCTCGGCCGCGTCCTGGGAAGACACGGAGCTGCCAGCCCGGAGGGAGCCGGGCCGGGCCCTCCCGCCCCAGGACGCCAGGCTCTGAGCCGATGGTGAGCTTTCGGCTCCCGAGGAAACCAGCCCCTCCACCCTGGGAAGCTGTTGTAATTTACGATTCCCCTCGGCAATCATTCTAGTGGCAAAATAAAAACCAGCAAGTGTTTCCGTGTCTTTCTTCCTTGGCCTGTCTGTCACCACCACCAGAGTGCTTTAGACAAGTGGAGCCCTGGCCGGGTGGCTCAGTGGGTGGAGTGTCGTCCCCTACACCAAAGGTGGCGAATTCAATTCCCAGTCAGGGCACCTCCCAGGCTTGGGTTTGGTCCCTGGTCAGGGTGCCTACAGGAGGCAACTGGTCAATGTCTCTCTCTCCCTTCCTGTCTCTAAAAGATAAATTAAAAAACATATCCGCGGTGAGGATTTAAAAAGATGAAAAATGAAAGATGAAGCTGGATTGTAGTCACGTGTGTTAGGTCAGTGCACACTAAGCTGAGTCAGACACACTGTGATGGTGAGACCGGTCCTGGGGCCAGCAGGGCACGGAATGGAAATGCGTGTGGTCCAGGTGGAAGGGTGATTGTCCTGAGGAGCTGTGCCAGTCTGGGTGCGGGAAGCCAGCACCCGGCAGCGGCTCCGAGGACCAGCGGCGACGGGCATCCGAGCAGGGAGGCAGTCACATCTGAAGGCCAGAGGAACATGTGACGGGGAAGCCTTCTCTTGGGTCCCGTGATGACACCGGGCCTCTTGGCCTTGGGAGCAGGTCTCTGGCTGCATCACAACTACACACACCTGCACTTGGCTGCTACTTCTCACACTGACCTTCCTAAAAGCTGTGCTGACTTGCCAAACCCTCCCCCTGGAGAACCCACACTGGTCGCGCCTGCCGGTGGCCTGTCCCTGGCTTTTAGGCTGCAGCTAGCACTCCTGGCTGCAGCGCTGGGTCCCCACCCCCGGTGCAGGTGGGCTCCCTGCGGTGCTGGGTGCTGGCCGGCTCTGGGCTCTGCCGGTCAGAATGGGCTGGAGGACCTGTTCCCTCCCCCACACCTGACCCTCAGGCACCCGGCACTTCCTGGGCCTGTGCGAACTAAGATGAGGCGGGGGCGAAACATTCCCTGGATGTTGAGGATTGGTGCACAAAGAATGGGAAAGCACAGCCACTTCTATTTTGGTTACATGTTGGAATGATAGTGTTTTGAATATGTTGGGTTAAATAAAATATCATTAAATTGGCCTGGCTGGTGTGGCTCAGAGGTTGAGCATTGACCTATGAACCAGGAGGTTCAATTCCTGGTCAGGGCACATGCCTGGGTTGCAAGCTCGATCCCCAGTGTGGGGTGTGAGGAGGCAGATGATAAATGATTCTCTCTCACTCTCCTCTCTCTTCCTCTTTGAAATCAATAAAAATGTTTTTAAAAAAATTAAATCGAATTTCACCTGTTCTTTTTCACTTCTTTAAAATGTGTTGGCTAGAAATTTTAAACCCACCTGTGTGGCCGGCAGGTTCTGCCATTTGCCCTGCTGAGAAGGCAGCCTGGGAGGAGTCACAGAGCCTCATCGCGGGCCCCCTTCTGCCGAGGGTGCGGTGGGCCGGTGACCCTCGGCAGCGGTGTCCCGCTCTGCCCCTGCTCCGCTCCTGAGAACTAACAGTCTCACAGCTCTGCCTCTACTCTGGGCTTTCATCCCAGAATCTGAATCTGGGTGGGAGCAAGGGGATTAAAACGGAGAAATGAAGTATCAGAAGCAGGCTGTTCCAAATATCGCTCTGCTGGCCTGCTCCGGCTCCTGCTCCCCGATGCGCCAGCGGCCCCCAGCCACACCGCTCCCTCTGCTGAGCCTGCAACGAGCTTCCAAAAGTTGTCTGCGGGGCCAGTACCATCCACACACAGAAACATGGCGAAGTGTGTTTTCAGTCACTAAGCTAATTGCAGCCACAGGAGACAGCTAAAATTTTTATTCTTTGCTTTTCAATAGAACCAAAGGCGTCAACTTACAACTAACATTACCTGCTACTTTCTGCAAACTAGTTGTTTAACCATACTCTACCAACAACAATAGCTTAACAGTGATCATGGAGAAGTTAATTGGATAACAGAGCTTTTCCACAATTCAAACAGAAACTCCTAAGAAAATTCCAGTCCCACAACTCAAGATGCTACGGATGGAAGCGTGGCCGGTGCGCCCGCTCTCCCTCGGTGTCCGGCGTTAGCCGGGCTGATAACCCCTCGGCGCTGGGACAGCCTGCACTGAGATCCCGTGGGTGTTCACGGTTCTCTCGAGATCTCAGGTTGTATCCCAACAGCCCACCTGGAGACGTCATTTCTAAAAAATTGGGGGAAATATTTATGGCTTTTACGCAGAGAAGCCTCCAGAGAAGACTCCTTGAGGGGATGAGGCCAATAGGGGTGACTCCTCTCCGCCCGGTGTCCCCACCAGCATGGGTGTGGGTGCAGAGGAGCCCATGCTCCCCCCTGGCCCCGCCATGGGGTCAGTCACGCCCCTCCTCACACAGGGGCTATGGATGCCAAACCCTCCTAGACTAAGCCCCCGGGTCCCCTCAATGGTGCAGCTGTGGACACACACCGGCCTGATGTTCCTTAGAGCAGCCTTCCCCTCCATGGATCCCGGGACCCCGAGCGCAGACCCGCGGCCCCCTCGCTCCCCACCTTCTCCTCTACTCCATCTTCAACCCTTTGGATTTGAACTCGATGAGGAGGATCTGGGACAGGCACCTCCCGAACTCCTCCAGGACCATCTGCTGGGCCAGGCACTCCGAGCAGTGCCCCTTCTCCGCCTCCTCTCCCTGAGCCAGCAGACAGGCGCATGCGGCTTCCACCACCTCCCAGGAGATGCACGAGGACCGCCTGCAGAGACACCGACAAGGCCACGGTCAGCGGCCGCTGCTCCTAACGCCGGCTGCATTCCAGGGGACGGCGTGTCATGCATTTCAGACTGCCCCTGGCGAAACCGATGCTGTCTTCCTGATACTGAAAGCTAGTCACTAGGATAACACCGAGTACTGCTTCTAGAAGGAGAATATAGAGGAAGGTAAATCTGTCAGCTGCTCGACATCCCTCTCATGGTTGATTCTAAGTTAGATCCTCACAAACCCAGAGGCCTGGGCTCCAGGCAAGCCCGTGGCCGGGCGGGAGGAGCAGCAGGAACCTCAGACAAGACCAGACCCCGAGACAAGCAGCCTGGGTCCCAGCGCAGTGCAGGGCTACGAAGCCCTACTGGGACTCTCTCCCTCTCTTCCTCTCTCTGAATCAACACAAATACATTAATAAAATAAAGTAGCATACTTAAAAAAACCAAACCTCTCCACAAAGGTAACACGCAAGAACTGAGTTGAAGGTGAGAGAACAGGGCTGCCCAGGGCGGAGCCATTCCACTGAGACCAGAGTCCACGGCTTGAGCCCTCGTCACTCTCCATGGGACACGCGGTCCAGAGGAGGCGGTCACACTGTCCCCGAGCTTCACAGAGGACTGGGCCACGCTGGTCATGTCCACTGACACAGACCCGCAGGCCACAGGGATGCCACCTCTGACGTCTCCAAGCAAAGAAGCATGAATGTGGCTTTTCAACAACATTAATTAATAACATTTGAATGCAACGACACTTTTTTAAAAATGGATAAATCTAGTCCAGCATATAGTGAATTGTTATTCTGCCTTTGAGACCTCCCGGGACCACCATCTGGCCGCAGAATAATTAATGGGAAAAACCCAACTACATGGGCTCATCGCGCTGGGGAGCCAGCCTGCGCCCTGGCACCTCTCCACTCCACCACACGGGGACGGGGACGGGGACGGGGACGGGGACCGGACCCACAGCTCAGAGGTTTGCTGTCTGGACGCCACACCCTGCAGCCCGAGGCCAGTGGCCTGCTGTGGCTCCTGCTCGGAGGACAAACAGGACAAAGCAGCGGGCTCTGAGGACAGTGGGGATGAGGGTGAGTCTGGAAGGGGGACGGTACCCTGGTCCAACCCCGGCGCCCCCCCTGCAGACGGCACGTCCCTTCCAGTGAGTGAATGAACGCCCTCAGATCAGCCCCGTCCCCGTCAGGTCAGTCCGAGCGCCTACCTCTCCTTCCGGAGTTTGGGGAGTGCTGACACGTGCTGGCTGCCTTCCAAACTGCCAGCTTCCGCGTAGCTTGGCACGGCCATTAGTGTTTTTTGTTTGGGGCTTTCTTCATAGTTTTTGCAGCCAGTGCATTTGCAGATCGAGGAGCACATGATTTTGGCCTGGAAACAGAGAATGGTCCTACAGCCATCCGGAAGAACAAATTCTGTTTGCACCTTCAATAGCTTATGTTTGCGTGTGCACGCAACCTGCCATTTTCCTACCAAAAGCGCAGGAGTGAGAGCCCATGGGGGTGCCGCGGTAGAAGAGGCGCAGTGGCGCGCTGACAGGGGTGGGGCGGGGCTTTGGGAGGCTGGGCGAGTGTGGGTGGGGTCCCCAGGGGGCGCTAACTCTGGTTTTCTCCAACCTGCAGGGCAGAATCTCTGGAGGGGGCTCTTCCGCCTCCGACACAGTCAGTGCTTTGGAGACGGGTCCGGGAGGGGCCGGCTCCTCACCTGAAGGGCCTTGAAGCGCTCGAGCCCTTGGCGGAAGGTGCTGCAGCAGGCCTCGCAGCTGCAGTTGCTGCAGAAGTCCCCGCCGCCGGCAAAGCAGTCGCAGTACCTGGAGGCAGTCACAGCGGGTCACGGCCGTGGCCGAGGCAAACACCTCCTGGGAATGTCCACGGATGCCCCTCCCCGGCCCCGCTGCTGCTGTCCCAGGAGCACAGCAGGCTGGGGTGGGAGCATCAGTGAATGAAGAGCCGTCTTCCATCACTGTCCCCCTCCACCGCGGCAGGGAGGCCCTGGCTGGGAGGGAAGACGCGGGGCCCGGAGGCCGCACTGCTCTGGACTCTGTCTCCTGTCTCTCCCGGCGGGTGCTGGGGGAGATGGTGCTGGGGACACGCGTGTGACAGGTTCGCCTTACGCCCCTCACTCGCCACCAAGCACCGCCTCCTCCAAACGGAGAGACCACATCACTGCGCTGCTCCCAGCCCCTTCCTGCTCCACCGGGCCCCCCTCACCGCCTCTCATCACTGCGGCTTCTCCTCCCTCTCCTCTCCCCTCCTCTCTCAATCCATATATACAAACATATTTTAAAAGAAGTTTCCAGAGAGGCGGAAACTTCATATTCTTTATTATAGCCGTCATTACGTTACCAACAGTAACAGAATTCACGCCTTCGCTGGCAGACGGGCTTTATCGGCAGATAAGCTGTCAGTAAGTGAGCAGCCACCAGCTCTGAAGGTCCGCTGGGAGGGAATCCACCCGTTCGCCAGCGGCCAGACCCCGCGCCGACTGCGCCCACGGCCCTACTCGGTACAAAGTGTCCGAACAGGCTCCTTCTGGGCCTCAGACCCAGCGACCTTGTCTGAGAAGAACCTGAGAGGTGGAGCTGTTGGCGGGCATCAGACGGAGCACAGCAGTCTGACCGCCCCCACAGGGCACCGGGCCGCCCCTCACTGGGCACCGGGCCCCCCTCACCCGACACCGGGCCCCCTCACCGAACACCGGGCCCCCCTCACCCGACACCGGGCCCCCCTCACCCGACACCGGGCCCCCCTCACCCGACACCGGGCCCCCCTCACCGGACACCGGGCCCCCCTCACCCGACACCGGGCCCCCCTCACCGGACACCGGGCCCCCCTCACCGGACACCGGGCCCCCCTCACCCGACACCGGGCCCCCCTCACCGGACACCGGGCCCCCCTCACCCGACACCGGGCCCCCCTCACCCGACACCGGGCCCCCCTCACCGGACACCAGGTTGCCCCTCACCCGACACCGGGCCCCCCTCACCGGACACCAGGTTGCCCCTCACCGGACACCGGGCCCCCCTCACCCGACACCGGGACCCCCTCACCGGACACCGGGCCCCCTCACCGGACACCGGGCCCCCTCACCGGACACCGGGCCCCCCTCACCGGACACCGGGCCCCCCTCACCGGACACCGGGCCCCCTCACCGGACACCGGGCCCCCTCACCGGACACCGGGCCCCCCTCACCCGACACCGGGCCCCCCTCACCGGACACCGGGCCCCCCTCACCGGACACCGGCCCCCCTCACCGGGCACCAGGCCACAGCACAGGGAGCTCAGGTGAAGACAGCCACTGGGTCCGCGCAGTGACAGGAAGTCAGGTAATTATTTGCAGCAAAAAACACAAACACAAAGCTCATGCGTTTCAGAAACATTTGTTATGACCTTTATAATTACTCCAAAAAAGGAGCCTGTGCTGAGTGAGAGAACCTGGCAGAGCGGGAGAGGGGGAGGGCCCTCACCTCGGCTCTGCCCCGTCCCCGGGGCGCCGGAGGGGCGGGCTGTGCACGGCTGTGGGAGCCGTCCCCTTGGGGTCCTGGCCAAGCACACAGCACGCCCCCGCTGACAAGGAGGGGAAGCAGGGTCCTTGGCCCGTGACCCCCTCGTGGTGCACAGCCACCTGCCGCAGCCGGGGCCACAGGACCAGACCACGCAGAGCGCACCCGAGGGAAGCCCGAGGGCAGCCTGGTCCTCCTCCGGGGCAGCGGCCGGCAAACTCCTTAGCCGAGAGAGCCAAACAGCACAGCACAGCGATTCAAACTTCTTTTGAGAGCCACATTTTTAAAACTTAAACTTCTTTTAACATCACTTCTTCAATATTGACTCGCCCAGGCCGTGGTATAATATTTTGTGGAAGAGCCACACCATCCACAAAGGGCCAAAGAGCCGCATGTGGCTCGGGAGCCACAGTTTGCCGACCACGGCTCCAGGGGATTAACCGAAGTTCATCGACCATCGGTGCTCACTCCTTACGGCCACGCAGCCTCCAGAACCGACTGGGGTTCCCTCAGCCTCTCCCACTGCCCGCCCGCCCCGCCCAGGGAACCTGTGCCCTGGCAGCACCGCAGGAGCCCTGCCCCCTGCCCGGCTGGCCGCCTCCAGGCCCACGCCTGCGCCGGAGGCTCCTGGGGGCAGGACAGAGGTCTCCCCGCGCGGAAAGGGCTGCCCGTCAGGCTGGTCCGTGAAAGTGAGCACAGAGTGTCACAGGCCAGGCTGTTTACTGAGTGCAATCACGGCCACCATTGGAAATGGCAATGGCATCCCAGCAGGAAAGCAGCCCGGCCCTGGAGACGCCTCCCGCCAGAGCGTGAGGGCCCGCGCAGAGAAGGCAGGCGCAGGTGAGCGGCTGCCACACCACTGCTCACGCCAACCACAGCAAAACAGAAAAAGCAACACAACAGCTCCTGTGAGCCCTGTCAGACACGAGCCTCCGACAGCGCAGGGCGCGTGGGGCCGTCGGCGACACCAGCCCCCGCACGCGGCACTGTCGCGGCTGCTCCGTCCAAAAGCTCTATTGCTCATGGAGCTGCAGGAAAGCTAGTTTTCCACTAGAAGAAGATGGCAAATGTACCCACGAGAGCCCCTTACATTCCTGAGTGAGTGACAGTGATGGCTTTGGTGCTTACCCAGCCAGCGTTATCCTGGGCGCTCCAGGGAGGGCTGGTCCCGAGGGCAGAGCTGGCCCCGAGGCAGCGGCCGGCTGGGCTCCGTGGTCCAGCTGCAGAGAGTCAAGGCCAGCATATTTTGAATTAGTGGATGTTTTAAAAGTTCCTTCTAGTCAACCCCAAGCTACAGAGAAAAACAATTCTTCTTCGCCTATTTTCACCTCACAGTCCCTTTCCGAGTCTGGTCTGTCAGCAGGAACGGGCCACAGCCCAGAGGGCTCCAGCGCAGGTGGTGGCCCCCCGGAGCCTGGCCCCAGGGCACTGAGGCTGCAGACGGACTGGGGACGGGGGGTGGGGCGGCCTGGGACCAGGGCCAGGCCACCGACCAGCTGGCAGGCAGCACACACTGCGGTCAGCCACTGGCCAGAACACTGCCCTGGACATCTTTTTCATTTTGTGAAATAAATTCAATTACCAATTTCTGTAAACTAAAATGGCCATCATTATTATATCCTTAGTATAACATGAGAGATCTTGATGTCTCATTAGCAGCCATTACTTATTCATCTATTCAAAAGGAGCATTTCATAGTCAGCGTTAACCAATTCAAAAGCAGCGTGGTAACCTCTGCTTTGCCCATGGCCTTGGCTCTCTGCTTCTAGCTTATTTTCCTTTGTTCCTCAGCAGCATGGCTCCCAGCGAAAGGAAGAGCTAGCGAAATCGCTGACCTACTTTTCTCCCTATCAGAGCTTGAAGAAATGAAAAGTATTGGGGACATTCGGGTTTTGAGATTGTCTGTATCCTCCCCTGAAAACTTGAAATTTAAAAGTAAGCTTCACTTAAGGAGACAGTCTGGGAAAACACCATTTACCCATCCTCCTCCTTGTCCCCCCTCTTTTTTTAAATATGTATTTTATTGATTTTTTAAAATTTTTTATTCAGTTTTCACAGAAAGGAAGAGAGAGGGCTAGAGAGCTAGAAACATCGAGGAGAGATAATCATCGACCAGCTGCCTCCTGCACACCCCAACTGGGGATGTGCCTGCAACCAAGGTACATGCTCTTGACCGGAATCGAACCTGGGACCTTTCAGTCTGCAGGCCGACGCTCTATCCACTGAACTAACGGGTTTCAGCCGTTGTCCCCCTTTTGCTGCCTGTTGGGCCTCGAGGGCACCGAGCAGCCACCCTGGTCCAGCTCCTCTGTGTAAAGCCTCCAACTTGCATGGGACTCAGTTTGCAGGAAGGACGTGCCCGAGAGTTACTCCAGCCAATGCCTCCAAGATGGTGGCAGTGCTGACACAGGCCCCCACGGGCAAGTGCAGCAAACGGGCGGAGGATGGTCTGCGGGCCAGGACAGGACAAGCCGTTTCACAGGGGGACAAAGAGCTGCGTCTTGGACAGACCCCCCTCCCAGGCCTGTCACTATGGGGACGGGGCTGAATACTTGGTAAACGCTTCACTGTGGGCCTTTAAATGGAGGATAATTATATTTCCTGAGAAATTTCAACCTGACCATCAAATTTTCAAGAGATAATAATGCCTAATTGTTGTTTTGTTAAAACATGACTCACTTGTGTAATGAGATTCACTTTTGCTGGCACTGGCAAAAATCTTCCTACTAAAGCAGTCATTGGCTTAGGGACATCTGTAAGGAAAGCAATTAGAATTGATACCATATATTGTTTTTTTTCCACGTGCACACGGAAGAAAGTTCAAATGTGAAAATGTATCATGGATTTATCATCATCCTCTTTGTTTTTTATCCTGTAAAAACTTTCAAGTCAATGTAAGTGTTTACTAATTACACCCTTTTTCTTTGCCATGGAGCCCCAGGGATAGTCTGTCCTAAACCATGTTGCATACACAGGTCCCCAAACTGCTGGCTGAGGTTCCCTGGAGTAGGCAGCAAACTGGCCCGGAAGTCGCCAGAAATTTTATTTTCAAAGCAAGCACAGCGACATCTGTTGGTCACCAGATGAAGTACTTTCCATTTAGGTGTTTTCTCTTTCAGCTGGTTGCTGAGTTGTTGGGATGTAAATACTGATCAGGCTATTTAGCCCAAACTCCCCGAGGAGCAGAGCCCATGCGAGTTTCCTGGCCTGAAGGCACAGTGACCACCATTCCTAAGACACTAGGGCCTGGTGGGTCCCGGGAAGGAGAGCTGTGCCTTCAGCTCCCGAGTCACCACCTGCAGCCGCAGAGTGATGCTGCCTTAAGGCTTAGGCCAGGATGCAGCGGTTTCATGCTGATACTTAGAGTGTTTACAGCATAACAAAGGGGACTAGGCAAGGGAATCGGGATCTGAAGGCACTAGGGCTTGCTGAGGGCCAGAGGGGGTTAGGAAAGAACCCCCTGCCTGTGTGAGGACCAGCGGCAGTGCTGATGGACAGCGAACGGAGCCCGAAAGCTCCCGGCTGTGAGGACCATGGCAGCCCTGCTCTGACGCTGGGACAAGGCTAAGTCCTGACGGCCTTGCTTGTCCCTGGATGGAGGGACTGTCGGAGGGAAGAGGGTCACAATCTCTCTGGACTCTGCAGGCCCATGGAAGTGACATCAGGGTTTAATGTTGATTTACATTATGGGCAGTGAGTCATCCGGTAAGGGAATAGTCTGGCTAAATCAAGATTTGGAGAATCACAATTACTACATATACAGTCCACATAGAAATGCCCAGTTTTTAAGAATTCTTGTCTGACTTCTGTGAGCACAATCCTAAAGCTATGCCATTCAGTCTCTCTTCGGTCATGCCTAAGGCATTACAGGATAATCAAGTACTTGCATGTCGCTTATTACTCTGGTGCCAGTTTGAAGGAGTTTCTGAGTAAATGAATGGCAGGTAGTCAGCATTTGTGCTGCTACTTCAGAGCTCCTGGGGATTACGTGAAGGCATTTCCATTACATGCAGTGTATCCCACACCTGATGCCTCAGCCAGGCCCCTCCAGCACCCGCCGCTGAGAGGAATTGCCACCTGTTAGGATGGGAGGCTGTCACAGCCACCCAAACTTTGACAGTCAATGCAAGGCCCGTAAACTGGTCTATACCGATGTGTTTCTATTCACAGCTCACTACTACGGGAGATGACGTTTGCCAAATTGCCTCCTTAATACCCTGACTGCCTATTTCACCCCTCCCCATGTACATAGCCAAACATGTTCACTTACCAACTTATAGACATGACAGAGTTTTTGAATTAATGTACTTCGTACCTGGCTGCAGAGAATTGTTTTGGTCTTGATACTGAGGAACCAGGTGGAGTGCTTTCAGTTCCCGCGCACTTGGGGTGTCTGTGCACAGCATCTGCGTGCCGCCCTTCAACTGGCAGAGCACCTGGAATGAGAAACAAGGTCTCCCTGTCAAAGCCGCCGGGGGAGGGGGCTCTTTCCCCTCCCACGTGGGAGTCTGTACTTGCTCTTTAATAAATTGTCACTTTTGCTAAAAAAAAAAAAAAAAAAAAAAGAAGAAAAAGAAAAAAGTCACACAGAAACTTCCACCAAGAACATAGCTTTAACCCAGAATTTATGTTTTTCTGGAAAATGGCAAACTGCCAGTCTGCTCCCGGTGTCTTGCCCGCAGCACGCTCTCTGAGGTGTCTGTCTCCGTCTCCAGCCCCTGAAAACAGAGTGCCTCAAGCTGCCCAACCCGGCCCCACTCAGAATCTTCTTTAATGTCATAACAATTGTTCTTTCCCGCCACCCTCATGTGCTATTAGTTAACATGTGTGATTTTTAAAGACATCTATTCATGTTATTTCCTACAAGCCCAGCTGAGAAAGGTTAACCCAAGAACTGGAAAATTCTAAGAAGCCATAGCAGTGTTCCTGGGCCTGGCCAGCCCCCAGGCACCTGGCTGGGCTCTGACCATCAGTAAACCCTCCGAGAGGCAAGTGCCCGCCATGGAGGCACGTCGGGCCAGCAGAGCCCAGCGGGAGCCCTCGCTGGTGGCCCCGTCCCAGGAAGGCAGCAGCGGTTTTACCCACTCAGCTTCCACCTCCAATGGGAAACCACAGGTCCCGGTTGCTGTGCTTCCGCCCTAGTGGCCTTTGGGCTCTGAGACAGGACAGCTCAAGCCTAAAGGGTCAGTGTCCCCGGTCACAGGGGGCCGTGCTCCCGGCGGAGCTCCGGGCACCCTGATCCTGGACGAGAGGCCAGCACTCGTGTTCAGTGGGAGTTTGTATCTGGAGGGGTAAATTATAGCCGCTCACGTTCTCTCTCTCTCTCTCTCTCTCTCTCTCTCTCCCTCTCTCTCTCTCTCTCTCTCTCTCTCTCTCTCTCTCACACACACACACACACACACACACACACACACACACAGGCGCAGGTGGACCCCAGGCCTCTGTCCCGTGTGAGAGGAGGAGGCCCCGCCCTGCTGGAGAGGCTCCGCCTCCTTCCCCCGGCCTGACAGAGCGGTGAGCGATGTGCATGCCAGAGTTAAGCCGAGTTCACTTCCTGGCAGAGCGTGGGCTTAGGGCTAAGGCCTCCTCCCTCAGAGTGAAGAGCTGGGGGTTGGGGGGCAATCTGGGTGGTTGGGCTCTTTGCTCACAAATGCATGGGGCAGGCCCGAATCCTACAGGCCCTGTACAGGGCCACTGTGTAACATGTTTTCTTGGCCATAAAATGAAGACAAAAATAATGCCCACCCTACAGACCTGATGGAGCCTTACAGGAGAGCAGCACGTAGGCCACAGGTGTCACTGCCTGTCCGGTCCGAGGGGAGTGTCGGTGGTTTTAGGGACTTGGAGGTGGGCGGGGAGGGCAGCAGCCTCAGCCCTCCATCAGGCCCCTGGGCCTGCGCTGACTGATGCGATGTGTGGTCACTATCCTCAAGAAACATAGCCCTGTCCTCCTCCTCGTTTGACTTGCTACATCTGGTTGGAGTGAGAATCTTAGAGCTGGGAGGATTAGGCAGGCACTAATGTCCCTCTGGATGAGACCGCAAAATGTTGATTCCACAGGCAAACAATGACAAACCAGCAGTGCAGCTGGCTCAGTCAGCATTCACTCAACAGCCGCATTCTCACTCTCTCGCTTTCTCGGCAGAGTTACCATGGTGTTCGCGTCCTTCTGAGAGCCGCCCGGGGCATCCTCGGCGTCTTGCGAGGACGGGAACTTGCAGGGCTCCTGGGACGGAGGGTTCTGCAGAGCGGCCTCCTCCACGCCCTCTCTCGGCACAACGCCACCTCCTTCCTTCACTTCCACCTGGAAAAGCAGTCGCTGCTCAGAAGCCACGTGGGGTCATTGGGTGCAGCAGCTGCACATACAGAACATTCTCTGGGGGAGTCACACTTGGCCCTTCTGCTCCTTCCTCACCCTCCCTCTCCCTGCGGGCACAGTCGTCCCACCAGCCTCCGTGGGCCGAGGGCCCGAGCCACCTGCCCGTGGGGCGCACAGGTGTGATCTCCATGTGGCCCGGTGTGACCGGCAGACGCCCAGGCCAGTCGGCACCCCTCGAGCTGCTCGCCATCCCCCACCCCACTGGAGCTGCAGCCAATGGGACCCTCCTGAAGTGCCCACCCTTCAGTACCACCCCGAGAGCAGGCTTGTCAGCTCTGTGGAAGGTTCTGGTCCATTGTTTGCTGTTTCCTCTCAAAGCAGGAAGTCCCTGCTGCTGTTTGGTAATGTTTATAACTAGAGGCCAGGCCCGGTGCACAGATTTGGCCTGCGGGGAATGGGGCCAAAACCAGCTCTCTGACATTCCTGAGGGGTCCCGGATAGCGAGAGGGCAGTTCTTGGATGATGCACCCTGGAATTGGGCTCCCTTCTCTCTGGTTCTGGGTGCATCACCCAAGAATCGCAGCTGCCAAGTCACCACAGCTTGGCAACTCCTGTATTAAGTGTCTGCCCCCTGGTGGTCAGTGCACATCATATTGATAGTTACCAGCTGGAGCATCTGCCCCTGGTGGTCATTATGTGTTATAGCTAGCAACCAGACAGTTGAAAAACCGGTAGCTTAGGCTTTTATATATATAATAGATGTAACTTATGAGCTGTTAGCAATAGTAGCAGAGCTTTCCTAACTGAACAATAGGACAATGTGAATATGAAACAGTGAGGGTAGGAATGACTGTCACTTTTGTGTCTAAGCTATGCTCTACACAACTGACACCTCAGTGACACACCAGCAAATTGCCAAGAACAGGGAGAAATACCATGATATTACTGAAAATCAGTAGAATAAGAAAAACACTAAAAAGTCTGTTAATAAAATTACCATCAGAATTGAGGGCTTTGAAATTAAGATACTTGGTAAATGATAAGAATGTAAGGAGGCTGCCCTCGGTTTTTCTCCGTGGTTAGAGCATTGACCTGCAGTCCCAAGAGTTTTGGGTTATTTGTCAAGGACATGTGCTTTGGTTGCAAGTTCAATCCCCGGCCCTGGTCAGGGCACATACAGGAAGCAACCAATTGATGTCTCTCTCATCGATGTTTTTCCCCCACCCCGTCTCCTCCTCCCTTTCTCTCTCTCTAAAAAATCTAAAAAAAATCTCTCTAAAAATCAATTTTCTCTAAGAAAAATAAAAATCAATAGGAAAATATCCTTGATTTTTAAAAAAAGAATGTAAAGAAGGCTGAAAACACAGTCAACCTAACTGTGCACCCTCCGTCCCCCACACTTAAGCTCCGCCTGCCCAGCTGCCTATGAGACAGGGCAGGTAGTCCTTCAAAAAAGATGGCATTTGTATGGGAGCTGTGCCAGAGCCAACAGGCAGAAGCTGTCAGGGTAAGTTTGGCAAATGGACATTCACACCGTCTGAGAGGTTCTGGGGAGACCTCAGTGCGAGGAAGGCTTAGGGGCTGCCTGCTCTGGGGTCCCTCTCAGTCAGCGATGGTGCTAACATAACCCAGAACACCAGAGAGCAGAAATCCAAGGTGCTGCTATGGCTTAGGGCTGTGGCCGGCAAATTGCGGCTCGAGAGCCACATGTGGCTCTTTGGCCTCTTGAATGTGGCTCGTCCTGGGTCTATTTTGAAGAAGTGGTGTTAGAAGAAGTTTTAAAAATTTGTCTCTCAAAAGAAATTTCAATCGTTGTACTGTTGATATTTGCTCTGTTGACTAATGAGTTTGCCGACCACTGCCCTGGCCGGTTTGGCTCAGTGGATAGAGCGTTGGCCTGTGGACTGAAGGGCCCGGGTTTGATGCCGTTCAAGGGCACTTGCCTGGGTTGCAGGCTCGACCCCCAGGAGGGGGTGTGCAGGAGGCAGCCGAGCCATGATTCTCTCTCCATTCCTCTCTGTGTGAAATCAATAAAAATATTTTTTTTTAAATGAATTTGTTTGGCGAGGGCAGAGCAGAAGATCATCCATGATTTTCTTCAGCAAAGGAGGGTAGTTAGCTGAGAATCGGCAGGAAATTGCTGTGCTCTATATGACATAGGCTCGAAGAGCAGAGCATTCAAAATGTAATTCTAAATAGAAAGGGGGAAGGAAGTAAAAGGCAAGCACATGGAAATTCATCCACGGTGCGTTTGTTGTCACCAGTTACTCTGACAGCCAGGGCTCCTTTCCTAAAGCCAGTGACAGCACGGGGATGGTTACCCACTTCCCATCCTTTTCCTGTTCTCGGGCGCCCCCTGCAGGGCTAGGCCAGGTTTGAATCCAGGGACCCCAGGACGTAATTCACCTGCAGGCAGAGTGGCTTGGCTGGCTGGTGTGTCTTGGGTTACAAAGGGGTGCACCCTGGGCGGGGGGACCCCAACCAGGGATGGGGCTGACATAGGGACATGCCGGCGGCGGCAGTCAGCGGTCTCCCCGCCCTGCTCCGGGAGGGGTGAGGGGGTGCCGTGCCCATTTCAGCCCCGGATCTTACTGGGATCACCCGGACGCCGGCGTGGGCGGCTCCGTCCAGGGCCCAGGCGCCCAGGGGCACGAGGGCGGGGCTGCGGTGCGGGGTCAGCAGGGAGGACAGGAGGTGGACGTTGTAAATGGGCGGGGGCGGCGGGGCGGCGGGGAGCACCGCGTCCTCCAGGGGGTCGAGCTCGGCGAGACCGGGGAACTGGCCCAGGATCTCCTCCTCGCGGTCGTCCACCAGCAGCTCCACCTTGACCTTGCTGCCGAAGTCGGCGCTCAGCGGCGGGTTGAAGGCGTGCAGCAGGGGCTCCGTGGGGCCCGCGGGGCTCAGGTAGGGGTCCTTGAACACGTGGAACTCCTCCTCCTCCGCCTTCACCACCGCCGGCGCTTTCAGGCCCGCGTTTTCCGAAACAAACCGGCCGTCTGCGCCGAAAAGGTCCGGCCCCATCTCATCTTCGGGGCTGGACATCCCGCCCAGCAGGGGCGCCTCGTCCATGTTCCCCGCGGGACCCCACACCTGGCTTCCGGCGGGGTCGGCACAGCCGCGCACCTGCGAAGACGCGGCCGAGTAAGAGGGCGCTTCTGCACCGCGGCCACCCCCGTCCCTCCGGCCGATGTGGGGAGAGGGGTCCCACCGTCCCGACCCGGGGGTCCAGCCGCCCCGAGGAGTTGCCCCCCTCCCCGAGGCCGGGCCAGGGCCCTGGGAGACCCGACGGCGGCCGGGGACCTCAGGTCCGGAGACACGGAGACAGGCCTCCTCGGAGGGGCGCACCTGGCTTCGGGGTTGCCGGACCACCAATGTGGCCGTTAACGGTTGTGGAAGGGGGCGGAATTGGGGTTGGACTGGGCGGGGCCTGGAAAGGGGCGTGGCGCGAGGCAGTGGGCGGGGATTGGAGGCCCGGCCCGCCGGCGGGAGTAGATTGGACCGCAGGCTAAGGGTGTGGCCTGTTTGCAGTAGGCGGGTCTGCAGGGCGGGGCGCGCACGTGGATTGGGTCTCAGGGAGGGGCGTGGCCTGTGGCGGTGGGCGGGGTGCGCGGAGGGCCACCCGGGACCAGCGGTCAGCCATTACGCGGAGGTGGGCAGGGAAGGACACTCTGGAGCTCAGCAGCTCCAGGCTCAGGTGGGGAAACAGGCCCTCAGACTCTTCTGATGCAGCGCTCGCGGGACTCCCTCGCTTGACTTATGACTTTAGTCTTTAAAATATACTTTTTCTGCTCCGTAGAGCTCAGCCCTCTGAGCTCCCCCCAACTTCCTACCATCGCTGGGGACGGACCGAGGGCCACACACTTTACAGCCTTGGTGCTGCAGCTTGGGGTGTGTGACTGAAAACTGGGGATCCCTAGTCAAAAGTAAACACCCAACGTTGATGACTGATGCTGGGGAGGAGGTGGAGTCCCGCAAACCCAGACACGGCTCACACTAGCATGACGCTCCCTTTGGGTGGCGAGTGAGCTAAATGCACCCTCCATAGCAGTGAACACTGCAAGAAGTGAGTTATTTACAACCCAAAGGGCAGAGCTGAAAGGGATTCTGAGGGTGCAAGGGGGGTGTCAGGGGTGAAGATTCACCAAAACTCTCAGGGACGGTTTTACGTGCAAATATTGTTTGGGTAAAATTAAAATGTAAACACAGCAATTTCATAATCTCATTTTTAAAAGTTTGGCTCAGTGGATAGAACATTGGCCTGTGGACTCAAGGGTCCCAGGTTTGATTCCGATCAAGGGCATGTACCTTGATTGTGGGTACATCCCCAATGGGGAGTGTGCAGGAAGCAGCTGATCAATGTTTCTCTCTCATCGATATTTCTAACTCTATCCATCTCCCTTCCTCTCTGTAAAAAATCAGTTAAAAAAATTTAAACTTTTCAAACAGTAACCAAGACAGCAGCACTGTATACTGCCATTTAGCCATACACCTTGCCATTCAAGAAATCCCAAGAAAATTTCATGCAGTTGAGAAATCCCAAATTCAAGGTACAGCCTTAAATGTTCTAGGGCTCATCTGATTTTTTTTTTTTTTCTTTTTCTGGGGCATTACAGTTTAGTTCAAAAGAAGACAATGTAATTAAGATTCCCCTGTTGGAATTTTCCTGCCATATTCCAGCAACTAGTTTATTACAAATGCGCTTGACTTGAAACTCAGGCCCACTTTTTGGACATTCACTTCCTGTTCCTGCGATCCACAGGACAGGACTCCATAGAAGGTTCTAGCGGCTCTTCAGATGGAAACTAGGATGGCTTTATAAAAATTACATTTAATATTTAAATATCACAGATAAAGCTGACAGTCCCTGGAGCACCATGGTGTCCCTAATCGCGCTGCTGGGCAAGGCGGGTCACTGTGAATGAAGTCCTTCCCGGGGGGTTTGCATACGTATGTGTGGCGACGGCTTTACGCTGATAACTTCATGGTTGTAATAACCATATTGAACTCAGCTGAGTTCTGGGGGAGGGGGAGGGGGGCAGAGAGTACAACTGCAGGGGCCTGAAGGCAGCTAATGTAAATCCAAGAGCCCAAGTGAAAAAGTGAGTGGCGCTGAAACCGGTTTGGCTCAGTGGATAGAGCATTGGCCTGCACACTAAAAGGTCCCAGGTTCGACTCCAGTCAAGGGCATGTACCTTGGTTGCGGGCACATCTCCAGTAGGGGGTGTGCAAGAGACAGCTGATTGATGTTTCTAACTCTCTATCCCTCTCTCTCTCTGTAAAAAAATCAATAAAATATATACATATATATTTTTAAAAAAAAGAAAAAAGAAAAAGCCAGTGGCTTGAATAGCCTGCACAAGCACACCGCCCACCCATCCACTCACACACCAGACATCTTTACGGAGCATGCTCCACACAGCCACCCGGACACCAAACTGGCCCCTAGCTGCCCTGCCGGGTGTCTCCCCTCAAGCCCGTTTCCAAATGAGCCCCCTTCCTGGGCCTGTACTCCCCCCTCCTCCTGCTAGACCCGCCCACCACGGTCCCCTTACCTGCCTTGGCCACTTACAACCCTTTTGACTGGCTCTCTTGGTTACCTGCTCCCCCTTGGTAATCTGAGCTCCAGCCACAGTCAGAACCTCGTGGGTCCCCACTGTATCCCCAGTGTGTAAATCGGTGCTTAGCACCGTGGGTGCTCCGTAAGAACTGAGAACACGGAACCCACGCGTTCATTGGATCGATAGTTACTGAGCAGCTCCTGTATGTCAGGCACTGTTCTAGGCACAGGGCGAGGGAGGGAGGGATGGATGGATGGATGGATGGATGGATGTGGAGTGAGAATCCACAGCCCCTGCCATCCACTCGGCCCGCGCCAGGCCTTTTCCTGCAAACCTCGGTTTCTTATCTTGGTCCCAAGTGGCCCAGCTTGGTATCTGACTTACAACCTCCTTGTTAACAGAACAAAAGACTCAGAAGCAAAGGCTGTCGTAGTCTGGATTAATGGTTTTATTAATGATAACGTTCATCCTGCATTTCTAAGATTTACAACCAAAAGAGCATATTGTATTTACATGCAACGGACAGTCCAAGCTAACAAATTCAAACCACAGCTCCGGTTAAGGCCGTGGTTCGCTCCGAATTAAATTAAATACATAATACTCTGACCTCTTCCTTTCACCATGTGCAGTAGAAACCCACTCTTCCACCTTTCAAGGAATATAAAAATTGCATTGACAGCTGCACTGATTAGCAAAAAATATTTAAAACCTGAGAGAGAAGCCCAAATATATTTGAGTGCTAACACGTGTACATCTGAACACTTGGTAACACACACTGGTCAGTGGTCGATAACGGGTGATGCAGGTGGCTCTGGGGCTCAGCCTGGGACCCACGCAGCCTGGGGCAGAGCGGGCCACGCCCCCCACGCCTGCTGGGCTGTGTACCACAGGTGAACTGGGGTTTTCTCATTATGGTTGTGTGTTTTTCTTTCTGTTTTCATTTCTTCTTACTTTAAGAAAAAACAAAAACAAAAAACACCTCTCTGGCCCAGTCAGACGGGATTTGTACATGACAACGCAGACACAGTGAACCACACACGCGTTCTGTGGCCGGCCCCTCCCCCTCCTCCTGTAGTTCAGCCCATCGAGGGTCCCTGAGCACGGAGCCACCTCAGAGCAAGCCCAGCGGGGAAAAGTGGTCAGAACACATGCGTGCAGTTCCTCAAACGGACAGCCGCGCTCATAAGGACGCGGAGACAGTGGCACTCAAGTCCCGGGATCCTTCCTTTTCACACCAAATACCGAGGGCGAGTCAGTGCACCCGTGTTTTTGTCCCTCGCCCTCTTCTGCTAAGGCACTCCCATCTGAAGGGTGGGCTGTGTGTATGAAACCCAGCACCCACCACTCGCAACGTGTTTTTTTTTTAAATACTTTTTTGCTGATTTCAGAGAGAGGAAGGGGGCGAGAGAAACATCCATGATGAGAGAATCATCGATCCGTCGCCTCTTGCACAACGAGGGACCGAGCCCGGTCTTTTAGGGGGGCGGGAGCCGCAGGAAAAGGCCTATTTAGGGTTACCACTCAGTAGACGGAGGAGTAAGACACCCACAACCCCACGTAAAGACTACAGAATACATCCCTGCTCTGGCCTCCCTTACACGTATAGGGCCTTCGTGTTTAAGGCACTGGGATCTGGGTACTCACAAGGCCAGGGACGCTAAAGATGCGCGAACTACATGCTTGAAACGTGGACAGGCAAGCGTGCGCGACGCTACTGGAGGAGGGCGGTTCCCGCGGGGACCACCGGGGGTTCAGAGCACAGCGCGCCCGTTGGCTGCTAACACCTCCACCCCCGGCACTCTCTCTCTGGACAAACACATTTTAGTTTTACTCTGAAAAATTATACACCCCCGGTACCAGGTCCCGGTGGCCACCGAGGAAGCGTGAGCGTCCCGCTCCGCAGGAGAAGTCCCCACGGGCGATGTCCTCAGCCCTCGGCACCCGCGGGCTGACGCGAAGGCGTTCGGGCGCTTCCTCCAGGGCCCCCCACGAGGGACCGGCCTGGAGGGAGGAGCAGGGTGGAGCCCGCTGTTCCGGACAAACAAGAACACACCACGCCCTCGGCGGCGGCAAGAGCAGTTCCGAGTTTTTTAGAGCAATTTTCCATCCTGAACTAGGATCAGGGGCAACAGCTATGCTTCATTTGGTTTCTGTCGGAGGAGCCCCCTCTCCTCCCCGCAGCCGTCCGGGGATTACTTCCTGGAGTTGGAGCTGAACCCGAAGAGGGCGATAATGTCGGTCATGGCTTGTCTCAGGTGCTTCCCGAAGCGATGAGAATCCTTTCGTTTGGAAACAAAAACAAACAAAAAAAAAGCACGTTACCATGTGGCCGTTCCCCCTTTCCCGACCTCTCCCCAAGTCTAAGTATATAATTGAAAATTTCTGTCAAATTAAGGATATAATTCGAGCCCAGCTGGTGTGGCTTAGTGGTTGAGAGTCAAAATATGAACCAGGAGGTCACAGTTGATTCCCGGTCGGGGCCCATGCCCAGGTTGTAGGCTCGATCCCCAGTAAGGGCTGTGTAGGAGGCACCGATCAATGATTCTCTCTCATCAATGATGTTTCTATCTCTTTCTCTTTCTCCCTTCCTCCCGGAAATCAATTAAAAAATATTTAAAGAAGCAGCCCTAGCTGGTTTGGCTCAGTGGATAGAGTGTTGGCCTGTGGACTGAAGGGCCCCAGGTTCAATTCTGGCCAAGGGCACATGCTTGGGTTGAGGGCTTGATCCCCAGTAGGGGGCGTGCAGGAGACAGCCGATCAATGATTCTCTCTCATCATTGATGTTTCTATCTCCCTCTCCCTTCCTCTCTGAAATCAATAATAAAAAAATTATATATATATATAATAAAACAACAACGAACACGAAACACATCCCATCTTTTTTGGGGGGGGCCCTTTGGTCTTTACCGTCTCGGGGCAGGAGAACTTGGACGATATGTGGAAATTGATGAGGTTCTCTCCCACTATAATGTAGGACACGCCGTACCCATCGTCAGCAACCTGCAGGACAAAGGAAATTGAAACTTAAGCTCAGGCTTTTAATGGTGACAAATAACAGGCAGGTGGGACGGGCAGTGCTGGCCCGGGGCCTGCCGCCGCGCGCCCACCGAGGCCCGTCCACTTACCGGCCCGAAGCCCCCACCGCTGCTCACGTACTCCGGGTTCCTCTCCAGGTCAAACAGCTCCACCTGCTGCTGCGGTGTCTGGCTGGTGGACAGCCGCCACGGCTCCGACAGGACCTGGGAGGGAGCAGGGACGTGTCCCGATGACCCTCTCCCAGCCCCGCCTGCGGTCCCCAGGGCCCCGGGAGCTCAGTTTGGGGCTGTTTCGGGCGGTACGCCTGCAGGCAGGGGCGGAGCAGGTGAGGACGTCTGGGCTGCGGGGGCCGACCCCAGTGAAAGCGTCCCTCGCACAAAAGGTGGCAGACACGTGGAGGCTCGGAGCGGGGCCCTGGGCAGGCTGGCACCAGGTGAGCCCAGGGAGGACTCCCCGAAACTCTCAGGCTGCTTGTGACACACAGCCATTCCTAGAAACGAAATGAACTCCACTGACAACACGGTGAGACACCCTCAGGGTCCGGCTCTTCTGAGCTGTCTCCGTGCACCTGGCCAGCACCTGCGCCCTGTGGCTGGCCACACCCGTCGGTCAGGAGGGTGTGGGTGTCTTACAGAGCAGAGCGGGCAGGGCTGAATCAATGCAGCTGGAGACACAGCCCCAACTCCTCCGCTCCCTGCCCCCGCCCCCCTGCAGCAGGGAAGCCCGGGCTCCGCAGCTCTGGCCGCCCGGCCCCTGGAGCGGTCGCCAACCTTTCGGACCTGCCCCTCATCCCGACCCCGAGCGGAGGGGCCGCCCGGAGGAGGGACTCACTTCCTTCAGGAACGGGGACTCCACAGCCAGGTACTTGGACACGACGTACAGGCAGAAGAGGTGGCGGTCGATGCCCGCGCCCGTCATGGCCAGGCGGTACATGTGCTGGTGCTTCTCCGACGCGATCTTGAACAACCGCAGTCTCTGCTCCATCTGAGCGACAAGGACGCCGTCACTAACCCCACCGGGGCTGGCTCACACCTCCGCCAAGACAGCCCTTCCGGACGGTCAGGGCTGCCCCGGGAGGCGGCCACCCAGGTCACAGGACAAGGAGGCCAGTCCAGGGGAGCCCCTCCCCCGCCCGCAGACCTGGCCATCGGGAGCCCCGCGTTCACACGGCTGCTCCCCCTCGGACGGAAGCCCTCCCGGAACCAGGCGCCCGTCCCGCAGAGCAGAGCAGAGCAGAGCAGGGCGAGCGCGCCCCGGGGCCTCTGCGCTCCGGCCAGTAGGCCTGGGCTGAGCCCACCTGCACCTCGGCTCCTTTAGCTACAAAAACCGGGCAACACTTCCTGGGCCAACGCAGGGATGTGCGAAGGCGGTGACAGGGCGCTGGGCTGCCTGCTCCGGCCGCCGTCACCGAGCTCCAGGCCCCCGTGGCTCACCCTTTCCCCACCGCACCCCGACTGCTGCACCCCGACTGCCGTCCTGCTGAGCGCGCTTCCAGAGAAAGGCCTCGGGGAGCCTTGGGTGTGTGTGTGGGGGGGGGGGGGGGTGGAGGGGGGCACGGGAGTTACAAAAGGCAGAGGACGGGCTCCAGGCCGTGTGTGTCCGGGCAGGTACGCGCTAACTCCCTGCTCCCGGGAGAGGGCGGAGGGAAGCAGGCGGCGAACGTGGGACCGGATGAGCAGGTGCGCACAGGACTCCATCAGAGACCCCGGGCCTCCTCCTGGAAGCGCAGGAAGCGGCGTCTCTCACCGTCTGGGAGGGGTCCGCCATGGCGAGCACGAAGGCGCAGGACTCCACGGTGCAGGATCGCACGGTCTCCGTCCGCCCCTCTCGGAAGAGCCGGGTCATGGATGCCTCGTACGTGAGGCAGAACTTGCCCATGTCCTGGGGGAGGAGAGGCACGTCACACGGGCACGCCGAGGACGCACACACACAGCCGGGCCAGCTAGGGTCGGCCAGGAGACAGGGCCTGGCCATCAGCTTTAGTTTTTAGTCGTCGTCAGTTTTAACAGGGTTATGAGCGGCAGACGGACACGCCGTTAGCGTTAGACAGGCTGGGAGTCCGTTCCCGACGCGGTTGACGCCACGGCACACGCCTCCTCGCGTGCGCACACGCCTGCAGCATGAACACGACACGCAGGCCTCATGCACCGGTTTGGGGTTATCGGTGGGGAGAGGATGGAGGTCTCTTGGGACTCTCGCTTTCTCGGCAACACAGGTCCCCATGAGAGTGAGGCCGGGAGGAGGTGCTGACGTGTGAGGGGTGACCCGGGCATTTAGGCCACAGAAGCACTGCTGGTCAATCAGGTGAGACAAGCCGGGGGCTCGGGGTTTCCTCCGGCCACGCTGGCTGCCGGGAGCCGGCTGACGCAGGCAGGGCGGGCACAGAACCAGGCTGTGCTTGGGGTCAGGCCGAGCCGGGGACTGGAATTGGAATGGAGCTGGGAAGTCTGCGGCTGAGAGGAGAAGGCGGCACGGTGGCGGGCAGAAGGGCCCAGGTGCTAAGGTGACAGCCGGCGAGGGCTCGGAGGGCAGCAGAGGATGAGGACGGAGGCGGGTCCCAGGGCGTGTGACACCCGGGCACAAGCACCGGGCGAGGAAGTTACTGGCAGTCTGCCCCCTCCCACGGCCACCAGGCAGCTCGGGGACGAGCGGGCCCACACAGAGCGGAAACGTGACCGCTGTGGACCCCCATGTCTCCCGACCAGACACAGCCAGGCTTTCGGGGGCCGCCTGCACAGGCCTGGGGACCCCAGGGAGACAGGATGCTCCCAGGGGAGGGGCCAACCCCAAGGCCCACCGTCCGGGTGTGCGGCCGGCCCCGGGAGCTCTCCCGCCTCCCCGACCCGCTTCCCTTCGGCTCTGCGCGAGAGGCTGGCGGGCCGGGCAGGGGGGCGGGGGGGAAGCCCTGCGGTGAGCTCTACCCCTGCGGTGCCTGTGCCCAGCCTCCTGGGTCCGCACGGAAGGCGTCACAGTGCCCCCAACAGAGACCGCCCGCTCCCAGCGCCGGCCACTGAGGCTCCGCCGCCCACTCCCCTCGGGCCAGCCTGCGAGGAGGGGGACCCAGGTTTATCACTCGGCCCTTCAGGGCCCTCACAGGCCCCCCCGACAGGGTGTTCCAGGGGCTCGCTGAAGGAGGGGGAATGGGGACAGGAAAAGCACCAGGCGTTTTAGTCACTCAGGGGTTAACGGGCCACAGGAAGCAATGATTTACGTGAAGTCGGCTTTTCCAGCGTCACACTCGAACGTCACACTAGCACCGTCATGCACGAGAGCCACCCCCGCAGACAGGGCCCTCCGACACCCGCGGCAAACGCAGGCTATTCGTGCGCTCAGACCCCAGAGCCAGGCCCGCAGCGCCTGCCCCCACCGAACCTGCCACGGCCACCGGGAGCGGCCGCTCGCCGCCGCCACCACCACCGCGCCTCCGGCGTCTAGCGCCCAGGATGGAGAGGCGATGTCTACAAAGACATAACGCGCGCAGGACACGTGAGAACAGACCTGTGACACAGCATGGGGCATGTTCATCCCCCGCTCCCTCAGGAAAAGCAAAAACGCCTAAAAGCAGGAAGAAGATGACTACAGACTAAGACGATGGCCGCTGTCCAGTGTCGCGTTCGGCCAGTCATCAAATATGTGTCTGTCTCTTCCTGGCTCTGCGGATCCCGCAGCACACAACCGCCCGGCAGGTGACGGCGTGAGGTCACGTGGTGAGGGACAGGTGCACCGAACAGAAATGACGCTGCTGAGCTAGTGAGAGCGATGGAGTGGTGTCTATTCCCAACGGAGAGAGGGTGGCACCGTAAGAGGCCTACGCTCCCGCGCCTCACTCGGGAAGAGGGCACCTGCCGGCAGAGAGCAGGTGCAAAGGCCCTGCGGCAGGAATGAGCTTCCCATCGCTGACAGCAGCAAGAAGGGCAGAGTGACAAACACAGTGCAGGAGGCTCGGAGTGGCACCAGAGAAGGCTGGGAGGGTAGCCAGGGACCAGACCACTGGTTACTAACCTTGGGGCTGTGTGAACTTGGAAGGGAAAACACAAATATTTTAGTCTCCGCTAACTTCAAGCCGGAATATCACCTTACGGAGCACAGGCCACAAGCCACAGGAATAATGAGCAGTGCCTGTGACTTTGAGTAGAAAATCATAGCTGTTTTCACATCAAGTTACGTTTGTCGCACATGTTCCAAAATATCATCCACGCTTATCGCTGCCTCAGAGTTACAGCCGCTCTTAGACCTGCCGCTCAAATAATTAGTGCACAAAGAATCATGCTTCCTGCACACAAACTGCTGCTGAATGTTCTGGCACCTGCATTTAAATCACCTGGTTCACCTCTGTAACCCGGGTATTTCCCGTTATGCTTTAAAACATTATTCTGGGAAGGGTCCCCAGGGCTTTGCCAAACTGCCCGAGGGGCCTGGTGCAGAGGAGGTCCAGAAGCCTGGAGCAGACCCCAGGACCAGGCAGGACGCCCAGACTGAGGCCACGCTGCTCTGAGCTGGGCGGAGGTGGGTCTGACCCTTAGCTCTACAGAGAGCCCCATCCCTAAATGAGCTGGTGCTCAACTGAGCATGCACCGAAAAGTTCCTGGTCGACGGAGCGTGCCTGGGTGGCAGGTTCGATCCCCGCCCCGGTCAGGTGCATGCAGGAAGCAACCAATTGACTTTTCTCTCCCTCTCCCTTCCTCTCTGAAATAAATAAAAACATATTTAAAAAAACAAAACAAAACAATGCAGCCGTACACAATCTGGGAGTCTATTGCATCTATAATCATGAGTAAACTTAGTCCAGAACAAAGATCAGAGACATCAGTCATCTGCCCCAAGGGTGTCTGCTTCCCCAAACCCTCAAGGTCAGAGCTGAGTTTAAGGGTTACGTGTGCACTTTGCAGGGCAGTGCGATCTGGCTGTGCTCCCCTCCCTGTCCTGCGGGATGGGGGACATCACCACACCCCACCCCCCGGCACAGGCCTCAGGCCTTAGCCCCCAGCACCCCCTGCACCCCGGCCAGGTGCAGGGCCAGCTCCCCACAAACCCGCCTCACCTTGTAGTGCGCCAGCTGCAGGGCCAGCTGCACAAAGGCGTCCGGGCTGGTGCGGGACTTCTTGATCAGCCCCTTCCCGAACGTGTCGAAGGGAAAGGAGTGGAAGTCCACATCGTTGGCCAGGAGGCTGGCGGTGCTCAGGGACGCCTCGATCACCTCCTGACACTGGGGAGGAGGGGGGAGAAGGAGGTTTCCCTGAGGGGGAAGTGCGGACACGCAGGAGGGTCCCAGCACAGCCAACAGAGCGACACAGATGCCGCCACGCTTTCTCGTTGGCTCTTTCCAGAAAGGTCACCGTGTGCCCGCCACCTGCACCCGCCCGCCCTGAGGTGCCACGCCCCCCCCCCCCCCCCCCCCCCCGCAGGCAGAGCACGGGTGGGACACGGGGCTTCCTGGTTCCAGGTCAGACCCCAAAGGGCACTCCCGGCAGCCGCGGTGCGCTTTGTAAAGCCCCTTATTCCACACGGGGGTCGAGGACCTGTTTTAAAGAATAAAAGCACGGAGGTCCAATCCTGCCACGGAAGGAGCTTTCTGCTGCGAAGTCACTCGGAGGAGCCTTCACTGCAGCCCCTGGGTGGGCACGCCCGGCAGTGACGCCGGGAAAGGGCAGAAAAGGGGGCGCAGGGGGAGAGGGCGTGGCTGGGAAGTCTCAGCACAGGGCCCTTTATTCTCTACGTCGGAAACCCCTCCCAGCCCCAAAACGTTCAACTCTTACAGCAAAACGAAAAAGTGGTGCAGCCCGGCCCGGGCGGGGACGGAGCATCGTCCCGCACACGGAAAGGTCTCGGGTGCGATTCCCCGTCGGGGCACCCATCTCGGTTTCCGGTTCAGACTCTGGTTTGGCACATGGGAATCACCTGACCGATGTTTCTCTCTCACATCCATGTTCCCCTCTCTCTTTGACTGTCTACCTTCCTCTCTCTGAATCAGATGATTAAAATAAAAATTTAAACCCGGTGTATGCTGTGGTCTACAAGGGTACTTTATGGGTATTTCTAAAAACAGTTTACAGCCAGGGATTTTAAACAAGCATAGCTGAAAACGGTTCCTTTCAGTGAGAAATAAATGTTTTTTTAAATTAAAAAAAGTTACTTCTTGGGCCCTAGGAATTCCTGCTTGGATCAGACAAGCCAGGATTTGGCATTCCTAGCCCTAAAATTCCTCCCCCCAATAAACCTGTACTAGGTGGACATCTGAGAATCGTGAGGAGTAACAAACATGATACGTGAGTGGCTCAGAGTATTTCAGCGGTAAAAGGAAGCGGTTCTGCCTGTCCCATTCTCTCTGCGTCATGGGGCCGAGTCTGAGCTGGAACGCTCCCCGACCCGCTCAGCTAAAAGCTCAGCATGGGAGGAGGAGGACTTGCTGGGGTTTCTGAGGCTACAGGACTAGAGCCGCTCCACGGCTCGGCCAAACTCTGTGAGGTGGACGGATTCCGGTCTCCGGGGCCTTCCCCGGGGCTGTGAGCACGGGCCTGCCACGGGGACCCGCCCCCTGGGACCGGCCCACTCACCTCCTCCGGGATGTCCCACTGCAGCCGCGTGGGGGGCGGGATGTTCGGGTTGGTGTCCCCTTTGCAGTGCCCGTCCTCCAGGTAGCCCAGCTGGAAGCTGTCGGTGGCCATGACGTACTGGGGGAGAGACACACGTGGAGTCAGAGAAGATGACACAGTTCACAGTGTCAGGGAACACGTGTGTGTCCCACCTGGCCAGGGTGCTTGGTGGTTAGAGTGCCCACCGAACACGCAAGGGTAGAGGGTGTGGTTCCCGGTCAAGGGCACGGGCAGGAGGCAGCCAGTCGGTGTGTGTCTCTCACATCGATGTTCCTCTCTCTCTCTCCCCTCTCCCTTACACTCTCTCTCTGAAGAGCAATGGAAAAAATATCCCCAGGTGAGGATTAACAAAACAGACGAAGAGGAAAAAAAACAAAAAAAACAAAATCGTGTTTGTCCTCCAAAGTATATGCCCGGGTTGTGGGCTAGATGCCAAGTAGGGGGCGTGCAGGAGGCAACTAATCTCTGATTCTCTCCCGTTGCTGTTTCTCTCTCTCCCCCTCTCCCTTCCTCTCTGTGGAACCAATACACACATAGAAAACTCAGCCAGACAAACCCCACGCGAAACCCATGCCAGGGCGCGGGGGTCGGCCGGCAGCTCCTCGCTCAGGGCCCTGCGCGCACTCACCTCCCAGAGGTGGCCCACGATGGGCGCGTCCGCCCAGGAGTGCTCGGCGTTCATGCCCATCTTCCCGTTCTTGAAGACAATGAACGTGAAGGACTTGTCAAACCACCTGCGGGAAGCAGAGGCGTTTGTGGAGCGTCAGCGTCGGAAGAAACGAGGACACACAGACGCGGAGACTGCTTCCTCCTGGGCGGGGTCCGGCCTCCGCCCCCGGCCGGACCGTTCCCCGAGGCCGCCGACCTCCGAGCCTCGCAACACGGGCTCACACGGGACACACGTCCTGCATCTTCCTCGAGGACCTCGAGGACAAGCTGTTACAACAGCAAGGACACAGGCAGCAACTCCGGAGAGCCGCGAGGCTCCCTGTGCCTGCCCCCACCTGCGGGCGGGAGGCCTCCTCTACAGGCGAGGAAAGGCCGACTGGGAGGTGCAGCTGCCTCACAGCTGTCTCAGGCCCAGCTGCCACCTTCCCCGCCTGGGGAACTGACCCCACGCCTCACTGGCATCCGCAAAGGGAGGCGGGCGGGCATGCACAGAGGGGGAGACTCACTGCTTCAGCTGTGAGTGGGTGCACGTGTGTGTGTGTATGTGTGTGTGTGTGTGTGTGTGTGTGTGTGGAGCAGACAGACGGGAGACAGACAAGTCGGGTGGAGAGGAAGGAGAAGCCGTGTTTTAAGGGCCTATTCCTCAGGGTCCCGATGCTGAGGCGGGTTGGCTGCACCCGTCCTCAGGCTCACGGGTAGAGGCCACACACACACACACACACACACACACACACACACCCCGGCGGGGACGCACCTGTCGAAGCAGCGGCCGTGCAGCAGGGACTTGGCGTAGCTGTCCAGGGAGGCGCCGGGGTCCTCCTCCCGGTAGCCCTGCTCGGTCTCGTCCAGCGTCACGAAGAAGGCGGCCTTCTCCACCGCGTCCAGCGACTGCTTGTTCTTCCCGCGCGCGAAGTGGGCCTGGCGGCAGCGGGCCCAGGGCACCCTGCGGGGCGGGCGGCGCTGGTCAGGACATCGTGTCCCTCGTTCCCACCGGCTTTTAGGAACGTAAAGCACACGTTCCACGACCGTCCCAGGTTCTGGCAGCGGGGGCTGTGGCTAGAGCGTGGGGGCGGCCCCCTGATGGACACCGGCCACCCCTCCCCCAGATGAGGAAACCGGCCCCGAGGGAAGTCACGGCTCCTGTGTGGCAGGCAGAGAGGGGTTCACGCCCAAGCCGGCCTGCCGGAGCCCACGCTCCTGTGGCATCTCTCAGTGAGGGACCCGGGAGGCAGACCCGAGGGGTTCTGTTCTGACCACCTCGCGGGGGACATGGCGGACACCTGGCGGCTCCCTCTGACAGCCCTGGCCCCTCGGTGCCGCCCCGGGCCTAGGGCCCCTGCCCGCCTGCAGGCCATGGTCGTCTGGCCCCTCTCCCGCCCTCTTCTCTGCCCGAGCGCTTGGCCGAGGTGCCCGTGGTGCCAAAGGCCCGTAAACACGACGGGTCTGAAACAAAGTAACCCTGACACGGCCTTGGTTTAAACCCTTCCGTTTCCTAAATTAAATCCGGGGCAGCCCGTGAGGAAGCCTAACCCCTGACTTCCCTCTGCCTCGTGCCCTGGCGCCTGCCTGCGCACACGCCTGCCCGTCACACGGAGGCGGCCAAGGTCACTCAACGGGGTGGGCGGGACCTGCGGCCCCAATGGGGGCTCTAGTCCCGCTGGTGCCCCCGCAGGCCAGGCCGTGGGCACAGCCCGGAGGCGGCCGCCGTCCACGCACACACCTGTCTCCCGCGGTGAGGGCCGCCAGCTTGGCCTCCCCGGCCTGCGGCTCCGACGGGTCGTCCAGGATCCGCTGCATCTGCTGCTCCAGCTCGCGGGGCCGCAGCAGCCGGCCGTCGTGGTACAGCCAGACCTTGAAGTAGCGGCCCCTGTGGAAGACCACGATGTGCCTGCTGTCCCGGACGTGCTGGATGGTGTCTGCGGGCAGGACAGACCCGGTCAGAGGAGGGGACGCCCCGCCACGCCCCGCCGGCTCCCACGTCCGTGCCTCCTGTCTGCGGGGGCGGAGGGGGGGTTAAGCACAGGGTCAGACAGGCCTGGCTCGAGGCTCTGCTCTGCCAGAGACTCATCGGCTCCGGCCACTGACAGAACCTCGCGCAGCCTCCGCTGTCTCATCTGGAGAACGCGCCAGCAGGCTGTCCCTCACCCGGACGCGCAGGAACTAGGGGGCCCAGTGCCCGGTCTCACAGGAAGAGCTCTGGGCCTCCAGCGTGTCAGCTGTGGGCTTGCCCAGAGCGGGAAGGAAGGAAGAAAACCGTCACGGCTCACAGATGACCTGCTATTGTACACAGAAGCCCCTGGCGGCTGCACCAAGAACTGTTAGAACTGGCAAAGTCAGCACAGCCCTGGCCATGGCTCAGTGGGTTAGAGCATCGTCCCGAGACACTGAGGCTGCAAGTTCAACCCCTGGGCAGGCTCATTCAAGACCCACCCAGGGATGAATTCATGAGCAAGTGGAACAAAAGTGGATGTTTCTCTTTTTCTCCCACTCTCTCTAAAAAATTTTTTTTAAAAAACTTCAGTATAGCCGAAACCGGTTTGGCTCAATGGATAGAGCGTCGGCTTGGGGACTGAAGGGTCCCAGGTTTGATTCCGGTCAAGGGCATGTACCTTGGTTGCGGGTATATCCCCAGTAGGGGGTGTGCAAGAGGCAGCTGATCATTGATGTTTCTAACTCTGTATCTCTCTCCCTTCCTCTCTGTACAAAATCAATAAAATATATATATATATATTTTAAAACAAACAAACAAAAAAACTTCAGTATAAAATTGCAGGATATAAAAACCAGTTGCATCTTTATACACTAATAATGAACTACCAGAAAAAGAAATTCAGGGGGAAAAAATCCCAGCCTGGCTCAGTGGATAGAGCGTCAGCCTTCAGACTGACGGGTCCTGGGTTGATTCTGGCCAAGGGCACAGGCCCAGGCTGTGGGCTCGATCCCCAGTGGGGGGCGTGCTGGAGGCAGCCAGTCAATGGTTCTCTCTCATGGATGCTTCTCTCTCTCTTCCTCTCTGAAATCAATTAAAAAAAAAAAAGAAAAGAAAATCCCATTTATGACTGCATCAAAGAGGATAAAACACAGAGGAATGGATTTCACCGGAGGGGGAGGCCCAGGACGCTGCGCACTCACCCGTCTCCTCCCCGGGGATCCGGGACGTGTTGAACATCCGCTCCCACTGCGCGGAGCAGAGCGGCACCGTGGAGCCCAGGAGGAGAATCTGCGGCAGAAACACGTGCCACCCGGGAAGGTTCCGGAGGACAGAGGAGCGGGCGGACGGCACGCGGGCAGTGCCGGCCGTGCTCTGGGCTCACCGTGCCCCTCGCTCCGTGAAGAGCTCGTCCCCGGGGCGCCCGCCTCCCGGGACTTCCCCGCAGGACCTGGCCACGCCCCCGCTTCCCACGCCACTCCCGAGGGACACGCTGGCCGGTCGTGTATAAACCGACACTTCTCAACCAGAGGGTATTTACGAAAGCCACGTCTTATTCCTGAGCGGCTCACCAGCTACACTGTTTTCCTTCAAAAGTCAACAAGAGGGCGGGCGCTGGAGGAAGGCAGGATTCAGCAAAAGAGAGAGACTCCCGGACATGGTCAGGGGCGTGGGGATTGTGGGGAAGGGGTGGGTGGAGATGGATGAGGCATAGAGCGGATACATGGTGATGGGATGAGTAAAATAAAATTTGAATATTTCCTTTGTACTAAAAAAATAAAGTGAGCAAGAGTCTCTTCAAGGGGCAAATGATAGAAGTACATCAGACGTGTCCCTCCCCCAGAAGCATCCCGATGCTCCCACTGACATAAAGCGCTGGGGGATCACAAAGCAGCTGGAGCCGTCACCAACCCTTGGGGCCTCAGGACCGCCACTCGGCGCCCGCGGGCCTGGAGTGCCGGGAGGCGGACAGGAGTGGCCTGGCGGGCGATGGGTGAGGAGGGGGGGCAGGGAGGGACGGGGCAGGAGGCAGAGTCCCAAGCGCCTGGGGAACTCTAGAGGGCGGCTGTGCTGGCCGTCACGGCTGGGGTGCGACGGGTGTGCACGCGTGTGTCCGAGCTCACACACGTGCCTCACAGAGCCGAGGGTGTCTCTGAGAAGCGGTGTCTGCTCACCGGTTTGAGCTCCTCCCGGTCCAGCTTGCGCCTGTAGAGCAGGATGGCGTGGATGGCGTTGCCCGCCCTGGCGGCCTGGATGTGGGTGGGCTGCACGTACAGCAAATCCTGAAACGGGGCGCGTGTCAGTGGGGAGCCGGCCCTCGGGGGCAGACGGGCGGGCGTGGAGCCCTGGGCAGAGGTAGCAGAACAGGAGGGGCCCGGCCAAGCCCTGGAGCCTCCCCAGCAGCCGGGAGGGCCGGCAGCCCCGGGAGCACTCACCATGGCGTAGTAGTTGCTGTTGACCATCAGCGGCCCCCGTCCGCGCAGGTAGATGTACTCCTCCCACCAGTCGCTCACCTGTTGGTGCGAACAGACGAGCTCAACCAGAGGGCACTGGCCCCACGGGGCTGGGGGTGTTTCGTGCGAGAAAATGGGGGGTGGAGTGGGTTTTTTAAGGTCACGTGTTGGAACTGCTACTCGCAGACTGGTGTGCAGGGAAGAGTCTGAGGGCAAGTGTAAGAATTCGACACCCCGTGCACCCCGCACCTGCTCCAAAGAGGAGCGTTCCCCGACACCCCCCACACCCCCCCCACCCCCCCCACCCCCGTCCAGGTCTCACTCCCTCCCTCTGCCATGCCCACTCCGAGCCCGGATGCCAACACCTCTCTTCCAGCTGTTCCTCAAAACCTAGACCCCCACCCCACCGCTCACCCGCCAAAGGTCCCCTGTGGCTGCCACCCATGGGGACGCCCGGATGTCCCGGGAACGGATCAGTGTCTCACATGAGAAATCTAGTTTCTGGGTTGGAATTCAATCAGGGAAAACCGTGGGCGTGCACTTACGTAGTTGGTGGCCCACCAGGATTTCAGCTTCAGGTACCACTGCAGCTTCGGCCCGAGGCTGACGGCAAAGTCCTCGGCGAGAGCCGTCATCCGCTTGAAGTCGGCTTCCTTCATGAGGGGCTTCACGGAGTCCAGGTACTGGGTTCGCGAGGGAAACACAGCCCGTTAGCACCCGGCTCCCTCCGGGAAAACGCGAGCACACGGAAAAGGCGGTCACGGCCTCCCCCACGCCGCCAGTCCTCCACCAGCTGGCCGACCCCAACGCGGAACGGCGACCTGGGGGTGACTGACAACCACTCCCGTCCGTTCTTTGTTGGCCTGCAAGCGCCCAGACCCTGCGTCACCAGAAAACCATCAACGTGACTTCCGGGTGGACCAGATCAGAGTCTTATAGACGTAAACGGGACGTTGCAGGGGTCTCCCTGGCCCTCCCGGAGCTCCGTTCTCACTGGCTGCAGTGATGGCACCGGGTGTGTGTGTGGGGGGGGGGGGGACGGGGAGAGCACCATGCGCGGAGAGTGCTGCCCAGTGCCTCCCACACCAGGACAGAAGGAGGGGCCGGAACAGTGACAGGGCACAGCTTAAAACAATTAGTCATGCCCCGCTGGGCGGCTCAGTTGGTTGGCGTGCCATCCATACCCCAAAAGGTCCTGGGTTTGATTCCCAGGCAGGGCACATACGTAGGTTGTGGGTTCAATCTCCAATCCAGGAGCGTACGGGAGACAACAGATCAATGTTTATCTCTCACATTGATGTGTCTGTGTGTCTCTCTCTCCCATCTTGTCTAAAATAAAAAGGTGTCCTCAGGTGAGGATTTAAAAAACAAAACAATTAGTAATGGAATCCAACAAAACCAATGACGTGGACACTTGGAGAGTGAGTCAGATTTCAACAAAGTTGTTTTAAAAATTTGCCAAGTGGTTTCACTACCATATATTATGCCTTTTATTAAAAAACATCTAAGTTGCCAAAACCTGTTTGGCTCAGTGGATAGAGCGTCAGCCTGCGGACTGAAAGGTCCCGGGTTCGATTCCAGTCAAGGGCATGTACCTGGGTTGTGGGCACATCCCCAGTAGGAGGTGTGCAAGAGGCAGCTGACTGATGATTCTCTCTCATCGATGTTTCTCTCTATCCCTCTCCTTTCCTCTCTGTAAAAAATCAATAAAATAAAATAAAAAATAAAAAAAGTTGCTGAAACCGGTTTGGCTCAGTGGATAGAGCGTCCTGCGGACTGAAAGGTCCCGGGTTCGATTCCGGTCAAGGGCATGTACCTTGGTTGCCGGCACATCCCCAGTAGGGGTATGCAAGAGGCAGCGGATCGATGTTTCTCTCTCGTCGATGTTTCTAACTCTCTATCCCGCTCTCTTCTTCTCTGTAAAAAGTCAATAAAATATATTTTTTAAAAACATCTTAAGTGGCGGGAGGGCAGGGGGAAGAATAAAACTCCTAAGACGTGCTGATGGGAAAAACATGCCCTGGAACAGCCTCAGCCGCTGCTGGGCGCTCACACCCCCAGGACAGCGGGTTCAGGGCAGTGGTCTCTGAGTCCCAACCCTCCCTCCCTCCCTCGGCGACGGCGTGCTGTGACCGAGGGACACCCACCCGGCTCACGGTGTCGCTCACGGCGGGCACCGGCAGGCGCGGCAGAGACGTCTGGAAGCTGTACAGCATGGGCTTCCGGCCGGAGAAGAGCTTCACCATCCCCTTCAGGAAAAGGCACGTTTTAGCCCAAACCGGTGTGGCTCAGTGGATAGAGCGTCGGCCTGCGGACTGAGGGGTCCCAGGTTCGATTCCGGTCAAGGGCATGTACCATGGTTGCGGGCACATCCCCAGTGGGGGGTGTGCAGGGGGCAGCTGGTCAATGTTTCTCTCTCATTGATGTTTCTAGCTCTCTCTCTCTCTCCCTTCCTCCTCTCTGTAAAAAAATCAATAAAATATATTTAAAAAAAAGAAAGAAAGAAAGAAAGAAAAGGCACGTTTTAAACGGTGAGACAGCCGGACACCGTTCTCCGGGGTCTGCAACTTACCGTCCATTTTCTGTGGTTCGTTTTCCCCATTTTCTGCCCCCGCCCTCGCAGGCCCCAGCAAAGACACTGGTGACCCTGAATAACCAGGCCGAGCGGAAGCTCAGGAGCTGGGAGATGCTGCACCCTGTCCGCCCCCGGGCCCCTGGGGGCGCGGCCTGACCGCCTCCACACCCGGGGAAGCCGCCCTCCCATCCTGCGAGGCTCCTGGGCTCCGGGTGGGCTCAGGGCTCTGTCAGCGGTGAGAAGGGCCGACCGAGGTGCCTCGGCCTTGGCCGAGCCCGGCAGGGCAGCGTGACCCTTTCGGTCACTGTCAAGGCCAGTGGACAGCACGCTTGCCCGCCAGCGGCCTTGCTTGAGGCTGCAGTGACCTAAACCTGGTCATGCCACGCCGACCAGACCTCAGAGGAGTGTCCAGGGCTCACGGGGGGCGGGGGCTGAGGGGCGTGATTCTGGACCCAACTGGGCCTCAGCCACCCAGGGAGCCTCACGGAACTGGTTTTGTCAAGTGCGGGCATCCCCTCTGGCATTAAACTGAGCTTCTACGGGAATTAGAAAACGGAGTGAAGCAGTGGCAGAACTCGGTCTGGGGAAGAGTGGTGGGGTGAGGGGTGAAGGGTGAGGGGTGGGGGGTGGGGCGGGCGGAGGGTGCAGTGGGCTCACACACGAGGTGGCCCCCAAACCTCTCTCACGAGCGGCCCCGGCCGCGGCAATCACCACGCAGACAGAGTCAGAGGCGGCCGGCAGCGGTACGGACAGCCCCGCACTCGGCAGATGCCCGACTGGCGGGCCAGGGGTGAGAGCAGGTGGAAATGACTAGAAGCTCAGGGTGAGTCACAGGGGGCTGGTCAGCCGGGGCAGCCACTCAGCCGTGACCTCACGTGGGAAAAGGACACCTCTATTTCATGGAGGACCTGGAGGACCCACCTCGCGGACAAACATAAAATGCCCAGAACTCACATCCGTTGGTCCCAGACTCATGAGTCACCATGAATCCATCCTCCCCGGCAACACCAAGGGTCAGAGGGAGAGAAGGTCCTGTGCGGATCCTGCTTTAAAAAGTGAAAGCTGCCCTGGCCCGCTGGGCTCAGTGGACAGAGCGTCGGCCTGTGGGCCGAAGGGTCCCAGGTTCGATTCCGGTCAAGGGCACATGCCTGGGTTGTGGGCTCGATCCCCAATGTGGGGCGTGCTGGAAGGCAGCCGATCAATGATACGTAAAAAGTAAAAGCTCGCTCTTGCTGGTTTGGCTCAGTAGATAGAGCATCAGCCTGTGGACTGAAGGGTCCCGGGTTCGATTCTGGTCAAGGGCCCATGTCCAGGTTGGGGGCTTAATCCCCAGTGGGGGCCATGCAGATTCCCTCTCAATATTGATCCTATCTCCCTCTCCCTCTCCCTCCCTCTCTGCAATCAATAAAAATGTTCTTTTAATTTTTATTTTGTACAGAGAGGAAGGGAGAGAGATAGAGATCCAGAAACATCGATGAGAGAGAGTCATCGATCAGCTGCCTCTTGCACACCCCCTACTGGGGATGTGCCCGCAACCAAGGTACATGCCCTTGACCGGAATCAAACCCGGGTCCCCTCAGTCCCCAAGCCGACGCTCTATCCATTGAGCCAAACCGGTCTCGGCAATAAAAATGTTCTTAAAAGAAAAAGTAAAAGCTCTGTGAGATGAGCCAAGCCCAGAGGGACAAACGCCAGGGCCTCACTGGCCTGTGGAATCTAAAACAGCCCCAGTGACAGAGCCGCGCGGACGGGCCTGACCAGGGTGGGGAAGGAAGGCCCGATGGGTAAGGGGTACCATGTCTCAGTACATTCCGGAGACTTAGGAGAAAGGGCGGGGACCCGAGGAAACTTTGGGGGGAGGTGTCACCGTCTGTGGTGACGGCCGCCTGGGCGTCCACGTGTCTCCAAACACAGCGAGGGGCTGCCCGGGCCCCACCGCCTCGCCCTCGCCCGTCCGCCACGCTGGGTCCCGCGGCCGGGAACACCCGCCCCGCCCTGGGCCCGGGGTGCGTCCACTTACGATCCAGACTTTGGTGGCCCGGCTCATCTTGCCGTGCTCGGCGAACATCCAGCCGTGGTAGGACAGCAGCACCTTGAGGGAGTACCGCATGGTGAAGATCAGCGCCACCCACAGGCCCGTGCCGAACAGCACGCCGCTCACCACGTGCTTCGTCTGGCTGGACATGTTGGCCCTGCCGGGACGGGACGACACAAGCCGGGGACGCGTGAGCGGGCAAGAGAGGCCGGGAGGAGACCCTGCACACGAGGAGAAGCACAGCCACGCATGCTTTGTGCCTCCGTGGCCCTGCTGCTCGTCTCCGTGGCCCTGCTCCTCATCTCGTGGCTTGGGGGAACTGCAGGATGTTTACAGAGTAAACACTCGGTGTTTTTCTCCCTGGCATCACAGGAGCAGACCAGTATGTGACGGAAGGAGTCTCCGAGATTTGGAAAGCCATCCATGGAACACTTGGCCCTCCTTCAGTGGCACCAGACATCGCACACGTCTCTGCCACAGAACTCACCTCTTTCTGAGCCTGTCACACCTGGAGTGAAGTGCAGCTGTCTGTACCAGCAACCAAGATACATGCCCTTCACCAGAATCGAACCCGGGACCCTTCAGTCTGCACGCCTATCCACTCTATCCACTGAGCCAAACTGGTTTTGGCGACACAGTCCCAATTTTTAACCTCTGAGAGGGCCTGCAGTGGAGATGTCCATGCGTGACATCCCCGAAGGAGGCACACACACACACACACACACACACACACACACACACCTCCTCGGGCACAATTCCACCCTTCTCTCCCCCTCCCTTCGCTCCACACCCCACACTCCCCCGCCCCTCGCCCACACAGCGTTCTGGCGTGAGCAAGCACACGTCAGGGACTGTGCTGCTTCCTATAAGCCGAAGGCGCTTTTCCGTAAGAGCAGGCGCGGATGAGCTCCCGTCAAAGACGAGTCCACACAGAACACCGTGCCGGCCCCACGGACAACGCTCAGGCGGTCCCCGCCGGCGCTTTCTGAACGTGGGCAGGGTGGCCCCGTCACCACCCTCGGTGGAGAGGGACAAAGAGGCAAATCTTGTAAAGACCCTCATGAAAGGGCTTTAGCTGGCCGGCACTTCCACAATCCAGTGCTCAGAGCAGCCCGCAGCGGAGAGCAAGTTAAGCATCTGCGGTCAACCCACGCCAGGCCAGTGTGAGGAGCAGGTAAGACTGGCAGAGCGGCTGCCGGGTGGGAGCGGAGGGATGAAAGGAGAGCGGCTGGGGCCGGGTGGCCAGTCCCTGCCCGCAGGCAGCCCGGGCACCTGGCGGGGGTCCAGGGCAGGCGCTTCCAGGGCACATGGCGGGGAGACCTCGCAGGGCCTCGCACAGGCTTATCAAGGCGGGGTCACACCCCCGGGGCCCATGAGGCTGTGGACACTCAGCTGGAGCCGAGTCCAAGGGCTTCTGAAGGAACCAGATTTAAACCTGAACCATGGGCTGGCTTATGCTCAGGCCAGACCCCACAGCAGCCAGGAGCCAGGCACACACACACACACACCTGCACCCGCACACGCACACGCACCAGCACACGCACACGCGAGCTGCTTCTCGTCCCTAAGAGACCCAATTCCACAGAAGCCCTGGCCGGAAACCCAAAGCCCGCTCATGGCACAAGGACGAGGGGCCTGGTATTTCCTGGAGACGGGCCTGAACCGCTCAGGGCGGAGGGAGCCTTGGCCGGGACCCGAGAGGAGAGAACACGGAGGACTGATCACTCACGTGGTGCCCAGGGTCCGGTTGATCTTCTCGATGATCCCCAGCGAGGGGTCGATCTTGGCGTACATGGTGGACATCACGCCCACCACGACGATGAGCCAACTGGAGGGACTGGCCGGGTACACGCCGGTGATTATGCCATTCTGAAGAGACAGGCGCCCGGAGCAGCGTCAGGAGCAGCGTCAGGCTGCGGGAGGGGTGTCTGCAGCAGGGACCATGCTGCCGCCACTGACACCTCCCCCAGAGCCTCCAGCTGCAGCTGCAGGGGCCTCAGTATCCCTCCCTGACTTCTGAGCCGGAGTGACCCAGAGTGACCCCAGGAAGTTAGAATCACCGAGTTTAGCATGCAGATTCCTGGGTCCACCCAGGAGCAATGACACCCAGGGGTTAAGGATGTCACTGAGCCAAGCAGGAAGTGCTCTCCCCAACCTGCTAACCCTCAACCTGCTACTCCCCAACCTGCTACTCCCCAACCTGAGATGCCCCTGGACAGCCCTCTCCAATTCCACCCTTCTCTCCCCCTCCCTTCGCTCCACACCCCACACTCCCCCGCCCCACTCCCCAGCCCCTCGCTCCCCCACCCGCCCCTCGCCCCCCCCGCCCCTCGCCCCCCCCGCCCCCCGCCCCCCCCCCCCCGCCCCTCGCTCCCCCGCCCCTCGCTCCCCCGCCCCACACTCCCCCGCCCCACACTCCCCCGCCCCTCACTCCCCCACCCCTGCCCCAGATGCCATTACCCTAAGTGTCTGCAGGACCCTCACTCCAGGTAGAGAATGTGGTGTAAGACACTCCCTCTCCTACCCCCCCCGCCCCCCCCCCCCCCCCCCCCGTCCAAAAAAACCCCAAAGAGTAGCAAGAAGGGCGGGCGTTGGAGGAAAATGAATCAGAACTGGCAGAATGTAAGCAGTGGGTCCTGGGAGGTGAGCAGTGCCACTCCTCTTTTTTTAATTTTAATTTTATTGATTTTGTACAGAGAGGAAGGGAGAGGGATAGGGAGCTAGAAACATCGATGAGAGAGAAACATCAATCAGCTGCCTCTTGCACACTCCCTACCGGGGACACCCCGCAACCAATGTACATGCCCTTGACCGGAATCGAACCCGGGACACCTCAGTCCGGAGACCAACGCTCTATGCACGGAGCCAAACCGGTTTTGACTATGTGGCTCCTTCTCTTGACTTTTGTGTAAGTTCCCAAATTCCAAGTAGAAAAATTCTTCCTGGAGCCATAAATAAGAGATTGATTTGACCAAGACAGTGGATTTAAAAACTCTCCGTGCTTTATCTGATTTTTTTAGAAGATGCTTGCATCCCTACAAGATTGTTTAAAAGGGGTGGGGTGGAATTAAGCTCGGTGAAACGGAGGGTTCTAGATAAGGAGGGCTCACCCCGCCCACCCCTCCTCCTCCTTCCCCTCCCGGGAGACGGCAGCTCCTACAAACCCTGTGGCTACAGAAGGCCGTGCACCGTTCAGGCCGTTTGTTTTCGTATCTACTGTTCTCCTTTCTCAGCTGACCGGCCAGACCTTTAAAATCAGGAACAGGCTGAAACCGGTTTGGCTCGATGGATAGAGCGTCGGCTTGGGGACTGAAGGGTCCCGGGTTCGATTCCGGTCAAGGGCATGTACCTTGGTTGCGGGCACATCCCCAGTAGGGGGTGTGCAGGAGGCAGCTGATCGATGACTCTCTCTCATCGATGTTTCTAGCTCTCTACCCCTCTCCCTTCATCTCTAAAATATCAATAAAATATATTTTTAAAAAATACCAACTGTGTAACCTACCCTGAGGGGAAAGGCAGAGGAGGACATTCATTTTTCACTGGAAACCCTTTCATTTGCTTGAATTTTTTAAACATGGCATTTATTTATTCCTTCTGTGATTTTTACTTTATTTTATTTCCCTCTCTTATTTTTTCTCCATCATCATTTACCCTCCTCCACCTCCCCCAGCATCTTCTCCACCTCCATCCCTTCTTCTTTGACTTTTATATTTATTTATTTATTTATTATTTATTTATTTAATAAACACCTTGCTAGTAATGTTCATTTCTTTTTTTTTTAAATTATATTTTATTGATTTTTTTACAGAGAGGAAGGGAGAGGGATAGAGTTAGAAACATCGATGAGAGAGAAACATCGATCAGCTGCCTCCTGCACAACCCCCTACTGGGGATGTGCCCGCAATCAAGGTAGTACATGCCCTTGACCGGAATCGAACCTGGGACCTTTCAGTCCGCAGGCTGACGCTCTATCCACTGAGTCAAACCGATTTGGGCCCTTTTGTGATTTTTTAAATAAACTAAATTAAAAGCAAGACAGGTGCTTAAGATAGCGATTAACTGTCCTCTTTCAGGAAACAGGACTGAGAACCTGCGAAGGCAGCTGCACTTGAGTTGACGTGCGTGTCTGCCCATGTTTGACCGCGTTACCCATGAGGCACCTGTTGGACAGACTGGCTGCACTTTCGCCCGAAACACCCGGTTTCCAGAAGGTGGGGGGGAGGCACCGGTCCTTACTCTGCTCCCTCCACGCGGGCTGCTCACCCTCTCGGAGCCCCCTCACCTGCCCCACAGGGGACTCCACCCGCCTCCAGAATGTCTTCCAGAATTCAGCGAGTCCATGTACGTCAAGGTGTGACATGAGCGTTAGGCGCCACGAAGATATGAATTAGGTGCCAAAAACCACTCAGCAATATGGGTACTTCACCCCGAGAAGGGCCCCGTGCCTCAGGGGGGACGCCCTGGATTTGAACAAGTGTCTGCACACCTTGAATCTGATGAACTTCTTCTTCCAGGAGTGAAGTCCGGACAGGTAGATCTGCTTCAGGGCCTCATGGCTCAGCCGCAGGTCGATGCCGTCGGGGGTGACCGTGAACTGGAAGGCCACAGCCTGGTGAGCCTCTGCCATCGTGAGGATCTCCTGGGAGGAGACGGAGACGATTGTATAGATTATATAGAGTGTAATTTGTCCTTACCCTTGGCCCTGACCCTCCCACCAACTTCCCTCCCGGCCAGCCGCCTGGGCCCCACCCAGTTGACAAGGGAAGAGGTGGCGGGGTAGAGAGCTGGTCCCATCCCTGCCCTCCACCTGGAGGCCACGAGTGAGTCACCACAGCCCTGAACCCTTATCTGCAAGCGGGCGGTGGGCTGACACCTTGGCCTCACCTTGGCCTCCGGTGCACCAGGGCGTGGAGCCTGAGAGTCAGACTTCCTCCCAGAGGCTGGGACTGAATTCAAGCCCCAGGGGGTCAGAGCACAGACCCCCGGGCAGGCTCCCCCGTCCAGTCCAGCCCTGCCCCACTAACGAAAGCACATTTCATCTGAGCTGTTCAGAGTCTACAGCCTGTCCTCTGTCTCCCATCATCCCACTCCCATCTGCTTCCTCTGCTTCCTCCCAGGGGCACGCGGCCCCAGAGGCTGCCACTGCCCTCACGGCCTCCCCCACCTGCTGGCCTCCGGAGGGTGAGGGAGCCCACCGTCTCCTGAATGGTCTGCACAGAGCAGCCTGTGGACAAAGTGGATAAAAAGGCAGCTAGGGCCGAAACCGGTTTGGCTCAATGGATAGAGCGTCGGCTTGGGGACTGAAGGGTCCCAGGTTCGATTCCGGGCAAGGGCATGTACCTTGGCTGAGGGCATATCCCCAGTAGGGGGTGTGCAAGAGGCAGCTGATCGATGACTCTTTCATCGATGTTTCTAGCTCTCTATCCCTCTCTCTTCCTCTCTGTACAAAATCAATAAAATATATTAAAAAAAAGAAGAAAAAAAAAAAGGCAGCTAGGAGCACGGGCTGGTTTGGCTCAGTGGACAGAGCGTTGGCCTGTGGACTGAAGGGTCCTGGGTTCAATTCCAGCCTGGGTTGTGGGCCATCCCCCAATGAGGGGGGGGGGCATACAGGAGGCAGCTGATCAATGACTCTTTCATCACTGATGTTTCTATCTCTAGCTCCCTCTCCCTACCTCTCTGAAATCAATATATATATATATATATTAAAAGGCAGCTAAGAGGAAAAAGCTATCATGCACCATAAGAACCTAAAATTGCATGGTGTCTTTTCTCCTTGTGTACAATTCCCCGTTTTTTACCCACATAAGCCTATGACGTGCAGAGGTGGGGCTGTCACAAAGAAGCCCAGTTACAAAAGTCAAATTAGCCTAATCTTCAGCCGACCAGACCGAACGATGCCAGGAGCAGGTGCCAGGAGCAGGTGCCGGAAAGGCACCGGACTTTCGTTCATTTGTTCCTCCCACAGGGCGTGGGCCTCAGGGATGGGCCAGGGAAGCAAGACCAGGAAGAGGCTGGGGGTGTTCCAGGCGAGTCCCCGAGGGGGAACAGAGGGACTTGCTTGTTTTGCAGTAGCCACCACGGCTGTCCTGAGCCGGCCTCTCCCTCCTCCGGCCCGAAGCGGGATTAGTGATCGGCCGTCCAAGCGGCTTGGAAAACTCCCTGTGCAACTGTAATGAGCTGAAATGCCACCTCAGTCCCAGGCTGCTCAGCAGCATTGGTCTCTGGAATGCGGCCCCCTGTGGCCATCAGGAGCACGAGGGTCAGAACCACAGCCAGCCCTGGCCATGGCTCCGCTGGTTGGAGCGACAACATTGATCTCTCTCTCAAAATCATCCAAATTAAAAAATAAAATAAAATCCATAGAAAACATCCTCAGTTGAGGATAACATACAGAATAAATTAAACCCACGTAAGAAAAACAAAAGGCCATGTCACCCCCACCAACATGGCCACAACCAGAAAGGCTGTGAGGAGGGCTGGGAGGGGGTGGGGAAGGATGTAAAACACGCAGCCTCATTGGAAAGCAGCCAGAATGAGAATGTTCCTGCTCTGACCGAGGCTCCCAGGCCTGCGGAAAGCCATCCTGCCCCTCTAGACGGACAGCTGCAGAAGCCAATCAGATCAGCAGCCTCCCAGCACAGGGCGGGAGTGCCAGCAGCTGAGTCAGGCCCAGGCCACCTGGAGTGCCCTCCCCGCAGCTAATCCCCCTGCCTGGTGCAGCTCCGGGTGGGAGGAGGCAGGCCGTTAAATCACGGCCAGTTAGGGGGACTGTCCTCTGCCTTTAAGTCTGGACATCGGCAAACAGGAGGAACACCTAACACCGGCCTCCCCTCCGGAGGGAGCAGCTGTGAGCATTTGGTGCGCTGACCTGAGACCCCGTCGCCAGCTCTCCCTGGCGTCCCAGGCACACCCACCCAGGCCGAGGCTGAGCCCAGCTGGGAACCCCCACCCACTGGGAGAGGAAGGCCCGGGGGCCAGCGGGCAGCCGGGCCTGGGTCTGGATCCCGGCCACCTACCCTGGACAGCCTCTCCTCGGGATCCCTCAAGTCCTCAGGGGAGTGGCCGCCCCACCACCTCTGGGGCTGGGGCTGGGCTGGGGCTGGGGCTGGGCTGGCTGGGCTGGGGTCTCACAGGCAGGACACAACTAAACCAGCAGTCTCGGCACCAGCCCCTCGTCCTGCATCGGGTCTCCAGGTGCTCGATGGTCTTACTCTGTACCTGCTGCTGCCACCGCCCTGTCTCCTGAGCTGTGTCACCTCTGTAACCCAGGCCCTGCAGGGGCTTAACTTCTACCCGCGCACAAGGCTGACGTCTCAGCACGTCTCCAGAGGCCAAAGCACATCCACCGAGGAAGAATCCTGCCCCCTTACCCCACCGCCTCGCCACTGCCCCCTGAGCCCCGCTCACCGCACCTGCTGGCTTTGGGAGGCATGCGCCCCCCCTCCCGCCCCGCCTGGGCACCTATCTGCCGGGGTGGAGAGAGGAGGCTTCCCTGGGGGCAGAGCCACGCCTGCACCTGTGCCCGATTCTCAGGTGGCTCCAGAGAGAACGCATGGACTGGCACGAAGAGCAAGGAGAAGGGGCAAGGAAGGTCACAGAGAGGAAATGAGAAGATACGGAGGGAGGAAAAGAGAGCTTAACCTCTCCCGTCACTCGCTGCCCCTCACATGGGCAGGAGGAGCTCCTGCAGGGAGCGGGGTGCGGAGGCCCCGCCTCCCGGGGACGGGACACACAGGTGGCTGCTCCTCCCTGGCTCTGAGGGCTGAGCACCTTGACTTTCCAGAAACCACCTCTGGGGCGGCAGTTGGCACGCACAGACCTCCTTCCTGGAACACACCTGCGGCCGAAGCCCCCAGCAGAGCGTGGGAACCGGGAGGCCATCTGAGGGCCATTACGGGAGAGAGATTTCCGAGGTCCGCACAGAGCACTTGGCACCTCTCGCTAATCGGCTCTCGGGGAAACACCCAGACCCAGAATAAGAGGCTTCAGAGTGAGAACAAAGACCCATTTATCACCACTTTAAAAAAAAAAAAAATCCACATCTCTTTAAAAAATCCACATCTGGTTTGGCTCAGTGGATAGAGCGTAGGCCTGCGGACGGAAAGGTCCCAGGTTCGATTCTGGTCAAGGGCATGTACCTTGGTTGCTGGCACATCCCCAGTAGGGAGTGTGCAGGAGGCAGCTGATCAATGTTTCTCTCTGATCCATGTTTATAGCTCTCTATCCCTCTACCTTCCTCTCTATATAAAATCAATAAAATATATTTTAAAAAAATCCACATCCCCATCCCGTTGGGCAGCTCAGTGGTTAGAGCACCGTTCCCATATGCCAGGGTTGCAGGGTTGAGCCGCTGTCAGAGCAGACAAGAACCAACCAATGCATTTGTAAATAAGTGGAGCAAAGTTGATGTTTCTCATTTCTCTCTCTCTCTCTCTCTCTCTCTAAAAATCAATTTTTAAAAATAGCCTGCCGGGCCCTAGCTGGTTTGGCTGTGGATAGTGTGTCAGTCTACAGACAGAAAGGTTCCGGGTTCAATTCCCAGAGAAGGGCACATGCCTGGGGAGCTGGGCTCGATCCTCAGAGTGTGTGTGTATGGGGCGGGGTGTGTGTGTGTGGGGGGGGGGGGGGCGCGCGAGCGCAGGAGGCAGCTGATGATTCTCTCCCATCATTGATGTGTCTATCTCTCTCTCTTGCTCTCTGAAGTCAATAAAAACATATTTATGTATATATATCCACATAACATATTGCTCTTAGCTGTTCCCTCCACTTCCCCATGCTCAGTCTCCCGTCACCTGGGCCAGCCTGGGACTCGGAGGGGAGGTCTGTGTCCTCCATCCCTTTCTATTTCCGGCCTCACACCCGCCTCACACCCGCCTGGAAGCGCCCTCTCCCAGGCCTGCTCTGGTCAGCCTTGGAACCGTGTGACCTCACAGGGTGAGCAGATCACACATCCCCAACCACCGCAGGTCCCGGTGGGGAGCCAGGCCCCAGGCCTGTAACCCTCCCGTTCACCTTCGCCCTGAGCAGGCCTCCTCCCTCGTTTCTGTGCAGCCAGGTTACCACGCCTTTCCAGGGACGTGTCAGTCCACAGCCCCAGGCACCAATCCCGTCCTCCCCTCCCCTCCCCTCCTCGGCTTTTCCCACCTCCAGTGACCTTCCGCGTCCCCTCCTTAATCTCCAGGCGGCAGAGAAGCCTGCGCACTGGAGGTCTTGCTCCCAGGCATGTCCTGTGTGTGGTCAGATCGGCTCAAACACTCAACAGTTCTCTTCAGGGTTAGCTGCTTCTGGCATGGACGGAACACACATTCCCTGCTGACGACTGATACTTGTCAATTATTTGTTTAATAATTGCCAGTTAAAAGCTACTCCAGGCCCTAGCCAGTTTAGCTCAGTGGATAGAGCCTCTGCCTTAGACTGAAGGGTCCCAGGTTTGATTCTGGTCAAGGGCACATACTGAGGTTGCAAGCTCAATCCCAGTGGAGGGGAGAGGGGGTATGTGTGCAGAACGCAGCCCCGATCAATGATTCTCTCTCATCACTGACATTTCTATCTCTCTCCCCGTCTCCCTTCCTCTCTGAAATCAATGAAAATACATTAAAAAAAAAAAAAAAAAAAAAAAAAAAAAGCCCCAGGACA